CCACAATGTCAGTTTGTGATGTTGTGTTCTCTGTCTCATTACTGATGATGTTAACTTTGATCACTTGGGTAAGGTGGTGTCCCTGGGTTTCATCTCTGGAAAGTTACTTTTTTCAAGTTTGTATTTAATACATTATTTATAAGGAAATAACATTAAGACTGTTTAAATATCCTTGTTCCTCATCAGACTTCCATCAGCCAGTTTTAGTATCCATTGATTCTTGTCTGAATCAGTTATGATCAAATTTAGTTTAATTTCAGAAATACTTCAACTGGAAAGGAGTTCAGTTAGGAATCTTCATGTACTTATGTAAAATTACAAAATGTTGGAAACAACCTAAATGTCCAGTAACAGTAAATGGTTAAATCATGTATGAAAGAGACACGTAATGGACTCTCATATAAACATTAAGGTGATATTTCTGAAGAATTTACATAACATGTAACTGTATGATCCCAATTTATATTATAATATGCTGAGAAAAACTGGAAGAAAACATCAAAATTATCATGGTAGCAGGCTTTGAGAGTAATTTTTTTCCTTTCTATAGCTAAAGATTCAAATTTTCAACAAAAAGAGCATACCAGTCTTATAAGCTAAAAAAAAAATCTACATTTAAAAACAAACAAAAATACATGTTTTAAATTCCTCTTTTACAGATAAATTTACTGAAATAAATTTAACGACTGTGGTACCTTTAGTGTTTTATAGTTTAGCTGGCACTTTTACATTTATCTTCTGCCATCTGTAGCAGTTGAAACCTTAGCACACCATTTATTTCAGATCAAGTCAAGGTGATCGTATACTACTTTAACATGATATTAATTCAGTTATTTTTTTCCTGTCTTTTTTAAAATAGAGGTGAAATTTATGTAATATAAAATTAACTATTTTTAAGTAAAAAATTTAGTGGCATTTGTTAAGTTCACAGTGTTGTGCAGCCACCACCTCTATCTAGTTCTAAAACCGCAAAAGAAACCCTGTACCCGTTAAGCAGTTGCTCTCCATTCTACCCTTCTCTTTACCTCTGGGAATTGTCAGTCTGCATTCTCTCTATAGATTACCTATTCTGGATATTTTATATAAATGGCATCATACAGTATGTGACCTGTGATGGCCTTCTTTTACTTAGCGTAATGTTTTCAAGGTTCATTCGTGTTGTAACTAATATCGGTACTTCATTCCCTTTTATGGCTGAATAATATTCCATTGTATGTATATACTACATTTGGTTTATCCATTTATTAATGGATATTTGGGCTGTTTCTACTTTTTTTTGGCTATTGTGAATAGTGCTGCTGTGAACATGCACGCACATATATTAGAGTACCTTTTTTTCCTTTCTTTTGGGTATATACCTAGGAACAGAAATGTTGGGTCATGGTAATTCTCTATTTAACTTTTTGGGGAACTGCCAAACTGTTTTCCACGGTTGCTGAACCGTTTTACATTCTTGCCGGCAATGTGTGAGTTCCATTTTCTCCAAATCCTGGACTAATTATTTTCCTTTTTTTTTTTAAATAGCCATCCTACCCGTACCCCTTGCTGTCGAGTTGATTCTGACTCATAACGACCCTCTAGGACAGAGTAGAACTGCCCTAAGGGAGCAGGTGCTGGTGTGAAGTGGTACCTCATTGTGGTTTTAATTTGCATTTCTCTAATGACTAATAACCTTTAGCATCCTTTCCTGTGATGGTTGGCTATTTGTATATCACTGGGAATGAATCAGTTACTATGATGGTTACAAAATGGTGATTTTTCTAATACTGTAATTTCTTCAACATTAGTTGGTGTTTAAACCACTGTAAGAGTGTTCCTTTACTTCCTAATTTATTTTCTGTATAAACTTTTTTAATATACAAAAGATTGCAGTCCATTTCCTGATTTGATTAGTAGAAGCCCCTTAAAGCTGGCTCCTGCGACCTTTTGAAATGTTCCCATCTTTTTTTTTGAACACTTCTTTACTTTTAGCCTTGACCTGATGTATATTTCCAGGTACTTGTTATTTCTCCATGTAGATGTCCCACTTGTATGACAAAAGATTAACATAACCACCTATGTTGCTAAGTGCTTAATATGTGCTGGGCATTGTGCTGAATGTATTAAATGTGTGATCTTTTTCCTTAAAAGAATCTTCTGAGGTTTCATATTTTTCTCACTTTACAAAGGAGAAAACTGAGGCCCTGGGAAGTTAATAACTTGCCAAAGATCACAGTACTAGGAAGTTATGGAACTTAGGTTTAATCCTATGTCTGTCTGATTCTCAAGCTGCTCCTCTTAACCACTATTCAGTGTTTTCTCAAGCTGAACTAATGATCTCTCAGTTATGTTTATTCCTCCTGTCTCTTTCTTAATCGTATTACTATCTACCTAGTTACTCAAGTTAGAAATCTTAAATTCACCTTCTTCCATTCCTCCTTCCGCATAACAGTTCACTTTTGAATTCTACTCCTGTTTATGAAATACCTTTCGAGTATCATTTATTTTAAATAAGTGCCTCGTCCACAGCGCTATTGTTTCTCACATCTAGTATAGCTATAACCTGTAGCTTAGTCTCTTGGTCTAATGCTTGTCAAAAATATGTAAAATGAATAAATATAACATTTGCGATTTGGAAAGATCTTACTATATTGCTCAGAAACTGCCTCCTTTCAAGCCCAGATATACACCTGACTCGTCTGTGAGACTTTAGATAGCCTTTGGACTTTTGATTGTATTATTATTAGGTCCAGCTTGATATTCACTGGCTAATTTATTAGCGGATAAAGGGAATTGATGTCAAGAGTTAAGTAACTGGATTATTTAGGGAGCAGAATGGGAATTAGGTAGGAAATAGATTATTGTGAGTTTGTCTTTCTCTTAATTCAATTATTTTTTGCTTCATGTATTTTGAAACTTTGTTATTAGACACAAACATTTATTATTATGCCTTCTGATTAATCAACCCTTTTATCATTTTGAAATATCCCTCTTTATCTCTGAGAATACTTTTTGTTTTGAGGTCTGCATTATCTGATACTAATATAGCCACGCTAGCCTTTATATCTTTTCCACACGTCTGTTTACTTTCACCCTCAACCCATCTTTGCTTTTATATTTAAAGTTCATCTCTTGTAGACAGCATATATAGTAGTTGGGTCTTATTCATTCTTACAGTCTCTGCATTTATTAACATTTAATGTAATTAGTGAGGGCAGTGGTGGTTCAGTGGAAGAATTCTCAGCTTCCATGCAGGACACCTGGATTCAGTTCCCTGGCCACTGTACCTTATGCACAGCCACCATTTGTCTGTCCATGGATGCTTATATGTTGCTATGATGCTGAACAGGTTTCAGTGGCACTTCCAGACTAAGGCAGACTAGGAAGAAAAGCCTGGTGATCTACTTCTCAAAGCATCAGCCAATGAAAATCCTGTGGATCACAGTGGTCCTATCCCATTGTGCATTGGGTTGCCTTGAACTGGGGGCCGACTTGATGGCAGCTGACAACAGCACCATGTTCCTTTTCCTTCCTGAGTTAACCTGGTGGTCCTTGTTTACTGGCCAGCCCTCATTTATTTGCACAATAAAAGTATCTCAGTTATTCAGGAAACTTCAAAGGTTTAGAATTATCTTCTCAGGAAACAAGGGCGAAAACCAGATTACTTTGAACAAAGTTAAATTCTTTGCACAAAGTAAACTTTAACTGAGTTCATGGTTAACAAATGTCTTGTCACCAAGGGGGTTTGCACGATTTAATGATCACTGTGTCTCCAGTGTGTCTTTGTTCCTTTTTACCTGTTCTCGGGTATACTGCAAATTGGGCAGTGACCTTTGTGAAATTTCCTGTGTACTTAGAGGAATAAGTCAGTCGGGGTCTCAGTTTCTTTCTTTCTTGTTTTGCAATACATTCATCTGTTGAAGGACATCTGCGTTGTGGAATAAAGCTACTATAGATATTTATATAGGTTTTGTGTGAACATACATTTTCATTTTACTTGGGTAAAATACTTAGGAGTGGAATTGGTGGGTTATATGGTGTGGTTAACTTTTAAGAAACTGCATAACTGTTTTCCAAAGTGTCTTAGCTTTTTACATTCCCACCAGTGATTAGTTAAGAGTTGCTGTTACTCTGCATTCTTGTCAGCACTTGGTATAGTCAGTGTTGCTTTTTTTTTCTTTTTTAATTTTAGCTTTTTTTTTTTTACTTGATAATTGTGGCTTTTTTTCTCTTGTGCTTTAGGTGAAAGTTTATAGAGCAAATTAGTTTCTCAGTCAAAAATTTATATACAAATTGTTTCATGGCATTGGTTGCAGTCCCCCAATGTGTCAGCACTCTCCCCCTTTCCTTTCCATCCCGGGTTCCCTGGTTCTGTTGGTCCAGTTTTCCTGTCCCTTCCCACTTCCTCGTTTTTGTTTTGGGGCAAGTGTTGCATATTTGATGTTGTATACTTGATTGATCTAAGAAGCATGTTCCTCACGTGTGTTATTGTTTGTTTTATCAGCCTGCCTAATATTTGGCTGAAAGTTGAACTTCGGGAGTGGCTTCAATTCTGAGTTAGAAGGGTGTCTGGGGGCCTAGTCTCGGGGGTTCCCCCAGTCTCTGTCAGACCAGTTAAGTCTGGTCTTTTTTGCGAATTTGATCATTTGTTCTATATTTTTCTACCACTCTGTCTGGGACCCCCTATTGTAATCCCAGTCAGAGCAGTTGGTAGTGGTAGTGAGGCACGGTCTAGTTCTTCTGGTCTTGGTGTTGTGTAGGCTGTGAGCCCATCTGGTCACTTAGTCCTTTGGACTAATTGCTCCCCTGAGCCTTTAGTTTTTTTTCACTCTTCTTTGCTCTGGACTAGAAGAGACCAATAGTTGTATCTTTAGATGGCTAATTTTAGCTATCCTAATAGATGCATTTGTTGTTATTTGCTGTCGAGTTGCTTCCAACTCATGGCAACCCCATGTATGTGGAGTAGAAGTACTCCATAGGGTTTTCAAGGCCGTAACCTTTCAGAAGCATATCACCAGGCCTTTCTTCCAAGATGCCTTTGGATGGGTTTGAACTGCCAGCCTTTCAGCTAGTAAGGGAATACTTAACCATTTGCTCCACCGAGAGACTCCTAATAGATGTGTAGTTGCATCTAATTAATAGTCTTTAATTTGTATTTCTCTAAAGTAATGATGAGCATCTTTTCATATGCTTATTTGCTTTCTTTATCTCTCCTTCCATGTAGTATTTGTTAAGGCATTTTGCTCATTTTTTATTGGATTCGTCGTTCTCATTGTTGATCTTTTTAAAGAGTTCCTTGTATATTCTGTATACAAGTCTGTTGTCAGCTATGTGATTTGTAAATATTTTCTCCTAGTCTGTGGCTTGTTTTTTTCACTCTCTTAACGGTGTCTTGCAGAGCAAAGTTGTTAATTTTAATAAAGACCAGTTTATCAGTCTTTTCCTGTATGGATTGTGCTTTTTGATGTTGCTCTAAAAATTTATTGCCAAACACAAGGTCACACATTTTTCTCCTGTATTTTTCTAGGTATTTTATTAGTTCAAGTTTTACCTATATGTGTATGATCTGTTTTGAGTTATTTTTTATATTAAGGTGTGAGGTTTGTGTTAAGATTCCTTTTTTTTTTTTTTGCATATGAACGTCTGATTTTTTAGTCCAGTTGATGAAAAGATTGAAGAGCTTTTTATTACCTCACTTTTGACTGCCTGTGTTCCAAGAACTGTTTTAAGTTATCTAATTCAGTTTTCATAGCAAGTCCATGTGACAGGTACTGCAGTTATCCTCAGATGAGGAAATTAAGAAAAGAAAGTTTAGGTTAGTTGTCCAGAGTTACAGACTAGTAGGTGCCAGAACTGTAATTCGAGTCTAATGTTTTTCTCCATGTAAGCCACATTAAGGAATTTGAGCTTCATCTTTAAGGCCAATGGCAAGATTTATGGAAGTCACATGATCAAATCATATGATTCAGAAAGATGACCGATTACATTTGGAGATTAGATTGCAGGATGGGAAAACAGGAAAATATTACAGTATTTTGGGTGGTAGTGGTCTGAACAACGAGACAGTTGGAATTGAATGAAATGGATGGATTTAAGCGAGGTAGGAAGTTACCTTGACAGGACTTAGTAAGTGATTGGATATTGAGTATAAGAAAGGAAAGAATTAAAGTTAGAAGTTGGAAGAAAGTGTAAGTTGGATGTTCCTGTGGTACATGGGGTAGGAGGAGAGGGAAGGAGATAATTGGAAATTTTGAAGAAGAAAGAGATTTAGTTTGTAAATACAAATGTGTGGGGTCCTCAGCAGATCTGTGGCACTTAAAGCAATGAGAGTGGATGAGATTGCTCAGGATACAAGGTAGAGAAGACAGTGCCTTGGACAAAATTCTGAGGGGCACTAACATTTAACATTTTTTATTGGAGAGAAAATAGGAGTCTGTGAAGAAGCCTGAGAAGACGCCACTGGAAACAAAGTAATAAGAAGAATTTTCATAAGAGACAAAGTAGTAACAATGAAGAGTATTTGAAGAAGGGAGGGGTGCTTCATAATATCAAATGTGGTGTTTTAGAGAGAGAGAATTGACTAGGGAAAATAATAGGATTACATTGTAAGGCCCAATTGCATTTGAAGGCAGTGAATTTGTAGTGACTTTCATCTTGAAATGTTTTCTCCAGCAGTACTACTGCAGGAGGCCATTGACTCAAAACACACTGTCACGTAAGAGATAAAAAGCAATATAAACCCTTAGTTAAGAATGGGAAGATATAAAAATATGCTTTTATTTTAGTTTGAGGAGAAAGGAAAAGAGTTGTTCTTCAGGAAACCTCTGAATACTGTAGCTACTCTCACAACAGATTAATTTATATGTTGCATTGAAATAGAACTGGATTACTATTTTATTGCAAATATTTTACTAAAATATTTGCAATGAAGTTTGTTTTTACTTAACATTGGTGTAAGAGCTACAAATATTGAAAGGCTGGGAAATTTTGAAAAACTTTAACTGTGAAAAGAAATAATGCAAAATAATTTTTGAGAGTGCGGAAGGGGGAGCTTTAACAAATTTATTTTCTCGCAGCTTAGGAGGCTAGAAGTCTGAATTCAGGGTATGGCTCTAGGGGAAGGCTTTCTTTCTCTGTTGGCTCTGGGAGAAAGTCCTTGTCTTTTTTCAGATTCTGTTTCTGGGTTCCTTGATGGGGCATCTGTCTTCCCCCATCTCTGCTTCCTTGCTGCTTGCTTAATCTGTTCTTTTATCAAAAGAGATTGATTTAAGGCACACCCTACACTTAATACTGCTACATTAGTATGATAAAGAAGACCCATTCCCAAATGGGATTATAACCACAGGTATAAACCAGAGTAGAACTGCCCCATAGGGTTTCCACGGAGGGGCTGGTGCATTCTAACAGGCTGAGCTTTCTAACAGCCTGAGCTCTTAACTACTGTGCCATCAGGGCTCCAGCCACAGGTATAATAAAAACCTGTTGCCATTAGAGTCAGCTCTGACACATAGCAACCTTATAGGACAGAGTAGAACTGCCCCATAGGGTTTTCAGGGAGCTCCTGGTGGATTTGAACTCCTGCCGACCTTTTGGTTAGCAGCTGTAACACTTAACCACTATGCCACCAGGGCTCCACCACAGGTATAGGGGTTAGGATTTACAACACATACTTTTGGGTGACACAGTTTAATCCATTACAGAGAGTGAGACACAAATGTGCACAAAGTGACTAAGCATAGCCTCATCGCCCATTTTACTACATCCCCAGCATGCCACAGTTCAGTTCCAGTGACCATGTTGTGGTGATGTTTGTCTGAGGCCCAGGTCAGGGGGCCAGGTAGGGAGGGAGGGACTTGGACTGGGGTGTGGGGGAGGCACCTCAGTCACCTCTGCCTCTGTAGACCCAGGTCTGACTTGTTGACCCCTCTCCTCCCCTACACCTCTCCACTTCACCTCTAAGAACTAGAGGCTCCATCCGCCTTGGTTTGTCTGAGAGTCTTGTCACCCATGTTCCCACATTCTTCTAGTTTCTTCCAACCCAGTTTGTTATAATAGAGAGCACTTACTTCTACCTTGAGAGCACCTATGAACACTGACCTTCTTTTTATGTTATGTTGTGCTGTGCTGTGATGTGATGCAAAATAATAATTTTAAATAAGTGATATAAAGAAGAAGATAACTATTTTGATACCTGAGCTCCTTTCTAATCTTTATCCACCTATTCCATTGCTAAGGAGTTAGTAAGGCTTTCTGTTGGCATACAGAATAATCCAACAAGGACCCTCAACTCCAGGTTTTCCCACATACTTTACTGTAGATTGTTATCATGTGCTGTACTTGAGAAAACCTGTCTTCGTAGATAAATCAGTTTTTGCCTGTCTCAGGTCATGCTAACATCAGTAGTACCAGCAATATAATATACAAATAGTCGATGCAGTCTATTGTTTAAGATACCTTTTTACTAATTTTTGTTTTTGTTATTCAACAGGTTTGATCTGTGGATGAAATGAATCATGATTTTCAAGCTCTTGCATTAGAATCTCGGGGAATGGGAGAGGTAAATATTTATGAATACTAAGAATTTATACCTCACTTTTGATTATTTGAGCCATTGAGAATTTTTTAACCGTAAATCTTGAGAATGATGGTTACATCTCCTAAATGATGTTGGGTTTAATCTTAGGTCACACAGTTCTGTAGTTGTAGTGATTTTAAGGTTTTGAGCATTTGTTTTGTTTTTCACTTTTAACAGTAATTTTAGTGTGATTATCTAGGTTATCTGATTGAATTGCTTAGAGAATATCTTGTGTTTGGTAATGAACCATAATTAACCTTTGCTCAAAAGAAAACACTTGCTTTACCTTTGTCCTGCTATTTTTTATGTGTGCTACCTTTGCTTTAGCCACACGTGACTGTTCGCCATTCTCCCTTGTAAAGTCTTTGTTGTTCACCCATAGCTTTTTGCTTAATAAACTCTTAATCCTCCGTAAGACGCTACTGAAAAGGCTCGTTTATCTGTTCTCCTGTTACTATCTGCAGTAAAATTACTACCTCATCTGACTTTTCATAGTTTTTAATACATGGTTTTATTATATTATTGGTCATAGTTTGTTTTATATTTGTCTCTCTCCCTTGTAGGTTGTTAGCTTTGAATGCGTACCACACAGTAGGTACTCTAAATTTTTTGATGGATTTTGTCAGTCTTGTTAATCTATAATTTTCTTCACATACACTATTTAACCTCACCCTTACATATTTTAAGATATCAAAAATACATAGCTTTTCCATATACCTAATGAATAATTAGAAAACTTGGATTATGAAAACCCCTGTGGTCACATCTTTGTCAAGTTCTGTAATACCTAATGTAATATGGACTTTGATCATAGAAAGTAACAGTGAACAGATCTAAAACGTGTAATTAACTGCTTGCTCCTGGAGATTATTTTACTTTGGTAGATTAGACCTTCATGAGACTCACTCCATCCAATGCTGTGCTCTTCAGATGCAGAAAAAGAGTCCAGTCACTCCTCTGGGCCACAAGAGGGCACCCTGCAGCTAGCTAACCCTCCCCTTCTCCAGAACAGCGTTTTCCAAAGAGTTTGTCATTTTCAGAGGACTGATTTAAGGGTGAGTTAAGGTGCTTAAGCTTAAGTATTGCCAAAATAAACTTGTTAGTCCAGTGCATAAGGTAAAATTCTGGGCCCTAAGAGAAATTTGAGAGAGGGAATAGTTTTTTTATTCAAACAAACAAAAAACTTACAGCTTCACTGCAGTGTAGTGGCTACTTATACATTATGTACGTTATGTGGGAATGAAAGAGGCAGTTGAAAAGGGCTTTCATTCTTTTCCTGTCACTTGCTTGTTTTCTTTGATCTTTGGAAGGCAGACTAGCATATCTTAAAAGCAGGTCTGAACAGTGTTTCAACTTTCCAGTCTGTGACCAGCGTAAATTTGCTGATTCTTTTAAGAGCAAAGAGAGTCACACCCCTGCTTAATTTTAGTTAGACCCCCTACACTTTATTTCCCACATGTACATTGTATATGTATTTACAAGTTGATTCTTTTTTTCCTTCTTTTCTAAATAGCATTTGACAACTCCAAATGCTTTGCAGTTCAAAAAATGTCATGGTCAGTGGTTAAAAGGGGTTAGTTGTTCGGGGGTAGAAGAGAGGTGTATGTGAGGTTTTTGGAAAAGAGGAGCTGGGTTGACTAGTATGTTAAGTTAAATAAGCTTAAATCGAGGCCTCCTCCATGGAAATGTCAGACATGCAGAGTGAAAGTGTCCAGGGTTTAAACTGGCTGCTACATGGTGGATAGCAGCAGGTCATTGTGTATCTGTGACCTTCATCCAATAAAAATGTACGTTAAAATAAGCTGTTATTCACTAAGTTATTTTTATTGTTACTTCTAAGAGATAGCTAAGAAACCTCAGATTTCTGACTCTGGGTTCTCTCTCCCACAAGCCTTTCTATCTTTCCTCATCTCATAGGCAGCAGGGAACCTTCTGGGATTTCCTTCTTTGCCTGTCTCTCTCTCACCAGTCTTCTCCTCCTTTCCTGACAGGTGAGGTTTTTTTGTTTTGTTTTTTCCCAGATTTTATTCATTGGAATAAATTGAAAGCAGCCTCGAGTTTCTGGCTCTTATGTTTTCTAAAACTGCTTGTATGTTTTTTAATGCAAAGTCCTTTTTTAATGGATTTCCCTAGTCTCGACTTTTTCTTTAAAAAATAAAGTTTTTGCTTATTATGTCTTAAATTATTGTAGCTGTCTAATAGATTTATATATAGGACTAATTTCAAATGTGCTGCTTTTTGTAACTCATGATGACTTTATTGACCCATTATCAGAAGGGCAGTCTCTTCTAGTTGTTCATTCAGCAGTAGGAACAGATTTGTATTCATCCATTTATAAACTCATCCTTTCCATTTTTTTTATTAATAGCACTTTTTTGTCAAAAGACCTTCTGACATGAATTAATGTCGTGTGGCTTAAAAAGAGCAAAGCTAATCCATAGGAGGTTGAACTCAGCTTTATTAGGATAATGTTTTAGTCAACTACACTGCAGAGACACATACCTCTACCTATTATCATCTCCAGGTTGTTGGTACATATGTAACTAGGTACCTATTTACTTTTCAAATAAGAGGAAAAAGGACTCTACCGGAAATTCTTCATGGAACCCAGAATTTAACTTTAAATCACTGAGTTAATGTGTTTTATTTTGGAAGTATTTTCATAGCTTAGTATGATAAATAATGCTCCCTCTTTTCTTTTGTGACACAATAACATTTAAAATATTTATGCACTAAGCTCCATTCTGCTCTGCACACGTAGGGTCTCCATGAGTCGGAATCGACTCAATGGCAACTAACAGCAAACAACAAGATCCCAGATATTGTAAAGTGAAGTGGGAAACATACTGGGTAGAGAAGTAAGGAGACTTCTGTTTTTTTCTTATATCAGTCATGAATAGTATGACTTTTCATAAGACTGACTTCTTTGACTACAGTAATAAGAATAACCTTTTGTATGTATACCTCTCAAATGCGCCAGCTCTGATCTGAGCTTAGGGATAACTGACATGGAAATCATTTGTTTCAAACACAGTGTTTTAAGTAGCTGACCATAGTTTTGTTTACATAATCTGTATCTCCACACTCCTATCTTAATGTATATCCACTATAATGAGTTGGCCCCATTTTATAGGAAGAATATCATAATGATATCTTAAACTTTTACTTTTTTATAATACCTACTGAATTTTTATGCAAATGATGCATACCTTCTACATTTGTTTGCTGTCTGCTCCTTTCCCCTACAAGGTATTTTCATAAATGCTGCTATGTTAATTTTTTTTACATTTTGCTGTAAAAAAAATTAGCATAGCGCACTTACGAAAATACCTTGTAGGGGACCGGTTGAGAAACATAGAAGACGCACATTATTTGCATAAAATATGGTAATAGTATTTGAATACTGAAAATTTTCTAAAATACTGATGACTTGGAAGGAACTATCTCAGGTAGTTAAATGTAAAGAGAATTGACTTTAGAATTAGTGGTTCAAATCCTAATGCTGCCATTTACTAACTGTGTATGTAACCTTGAAGAATTTATTTTACCTCTGATTCTGTTTTCTTATGCAAAATATGACTATATTAGCCAGCTCTTCTTCATAAATAATAAGTAATGGGATTTCATGATCCCTCTAGGATACCCAGACTAACTCAAGGAAAAAAGGCAAATGACTATAGACACAGTCTTTATAATGAATAATATTATAGACCTTTAAAATAACCAACCACTCAAATGTTGGCCAGTGTGTCATTAATGTTTTATAATAATAAAGGATTCATGTGTTTGGTGGTGAAGATACCTGGTATTTATATGTCTGCTGTGTGCTAGATACTGTGCCAAGCTGTTTATTTACATTATTTTATTCTATCCTCATAATAAATCTATGGCAGGAGCTTTATTATTATCCTTTACTTTACAGATGAGGAAACTGAAGCTCAAAAAGTTGAATTAACTGAGTCAAAGTCAGATCATAGTCCTTGAACAGCAGTCTGGCCTTGCTGTTTACACCACTTTCCATTGAAAGTGACAGCATTAATAATGTTTGCTCATGATATTATGGGATATTACGAATGGAGAAGATTTGGGCAAGTGGTCTAAGTTGAAAAAATTAAGTATTAATATCTTTTATTAACAGAAAAGATAAAGTCTGGAAAAGCACCAATCTGGGGTTCTAGGGAGTTAACTTTGTTTCTTTTGTTCTCTACACAACCTAGTTATCAGCATCTATGCCTATCTTTTATGTGCTTCCATTATAAATAGTATGACCTTATCCTGATCTACCTAGGATAGTCTCCATATATACCTGTTGTCTTGGCACCCTGTTTGTCAAATATCCCAGTTTGAATGATGAGTTACATGAACATTTTCATTTAAAACATAATGTAGACATTTCAACTTTACATCTTTTTTATTGTTTGGATTTTGTTAATTTGGTGGTTTTGAAGATTTCACATAATAATTTGTACTAGAAAACTCAAGTATAAATGTGAGTCATAGCACATTCCTTATAGCAAGACTTTTTTTTTTTAAGGTAGTATGGTAGGACGCTGACTGATTTATTTGTGGAGATGGGCAGGGCAAGCCATTAATGCTTCTTGAAGGAAAGAACTTATAAAACAGTAGACAGTTTGGAAATGAATTTGTATGTCCACTCAATTATTTCTGAGTTGGAAGGACAGAGAAGCAGGTTGACAAGAAATACTGAGTTGCCTGACCTTGCATTAGAGCTTTTGTGAATTAGGAAACTAATATGAAGTCATACTAGATCATTTATTTTACAGATTTTGAAGATTTCAGCCCTTCTGTAATGTTCTTCCATTTCTACTAAAGTAAAAGAGTCCTCAGGGCAAATACCTGTTTTCATTGCTGTTCAATCAGTGCATCACTTAACTCTTTTTTTTTTTTTTAACTGTTCTATCCTTGCTGCTCTACCCTATATTGTCCATTTTAACCTATTCTTGATCATAAGGTAGTAGTTTCTCTAAAAATATTTGAAATCAATTTCTAAACTGTCACAGAAGGCTGTTTCTAGAATGTTGGTGAAGGCCTTTGGCAGGAGAAATGTCAATTTTATTAGCTATTAAATTGTATTTCTGTGCATGATAGTTTACATATGTTTGCAAAAAGAAGAGATACTCATATAACAGTGCTAGCAAAAAGTAGGCACACTTGGTAAGTGCTTGACATTGTTTGTTTTGAGTTGTGCATTTTACATTTTAAACAGTGACCTATGAAGGCACTATGTTCAGTCTTATTCCAGAAGACTTTGGAATAGTCTACTCAAAAGGATTCTATTATTTCTGCTACCTCAGAAGATTGGTCTGTTTCATACACTTCTCTGTCTGCAATAAGTGCTTCTGTTAGTAGTTATAACTTGTCTTTATTTTAGATTCCTTATTTGTTACTCTTATTTTGATACCGAAATATTTTCCTTCATTAAGTATGGGGTAAAAGCACTTCTGCCTATTTAGTATTTTGAAGGGTTTGACTTAGGTTTTGCTATAAATGAAAGTTCAGTTAGCTAAGTATATCAGATATGGTGCTTTAATATTGCATTATCAGCTTTACATTGTATTTGAATATTTACATGACTTTTATAATGAATTAAAAAAAAGACCAAACAGAGGTTGCATTTTACTTACTGGAATCTTTGTTAAAGCTGATTATTGTTAAATGTCTATATTACAAATAATTTGCAGCCCAGGAAGATGTTAACATACAAAAACTTTTCTCAAATAGCAGAAGTTAGTTTCTTTTAAAATTGATCTGTAAATTAGGAACATGGCCAAGTTGAATTCCCCCTCTCCCACCCCTTCTAAAAAACAATAGCAGAACACCCTGCTGTTTCTCCAGTGTTTTCCATTTTGATCAACAGCACTACCATCTGCGTTGCTACCTAGATTTTAAAGTTTTATCTTTCTTATCCACCCCTACCTCATTTATATTCAGATCCTATTGACTCTCCTAAATATTTCTCAAATCCAGTAGAGATTTTTTTAGTTTTTTCTGCCAGTACCCTGTTTTAGTGTTTGCTATCCTGGAACCCGTTGTAATTCTCTTAAGTGGTTTCCTGCCTTTATTCTTCCCCCGTCCTACCCATTATTCTTACTGCCACTTGAGTTGTTTCTAAAACATAATGATGTCACTCTTGCCAACCTCTCTTCGTTCACAGTATATTCTCAGTATAACATCCAATATCCTTAGCATGTCTTTAAGCTTCCTCTTAATCTGACCTAGTTAGCATTAACTTCTGACGTTCCTGCATCTGTTTCTCCATCTCATTCTCTGTTTTACTCACTGTGTTTTCTCAAGTTTTGCCTTTGTTCATGCTTTTCTCTGCCTTCTCATCCTCCTCTCCTAGTTTCACCCTTCACACACACAATCTTACTTATCTTTCAGACCCAATTCAGGTGTTACTGAGTTACATTCTATTATAGTTTGTGTGTTGTGAGCTCTCTGAAGATGAGGTCATCGTGACCTTAAGGAGGCAAACACAGGTAATTTAATAATAGAAGTGTATATAAGTTTGATAAAGGGCACTGAGAGACTGGGCACCTGATTATGGGTTGAGAGTGATACGAGTCTTACAAATGCTTGTATGAAAAATGCATTATCTCTCAGAAAACTAATCTCTTTTCAAGCATACATATCCCCAGTCTACCTCCTCTGAGTGGTCAGAGAAGGTAGAGAGAAGAGATCTGGTAAAGAATAAATAGTAGTTAGCGAAGTGTACATTTTGAGTAATCAGTGAATGGCTATATCATCACAATTTTTATGAACTGTGTATATGACAATATAGGTTAGAGCATAGAGGCTTGAGATTGTTATCTCAAATATTTGGGGTCCTTCTTATGTGTCTCCATAGAACTCTGATTTGGAATTGACAAGTTGCTGGTATTTGAGAGCTAGTAAGAGTTGTGACGTTCACGTCCATTGAGTAACTGAAATAAGAATGAAAAATGTTTTCTGTGCTGGAAGCTGTAGGATAGGAGAAGTGATCCACAAAAAAGGGCACTTGGAAGTGAAAGAAAAATTTTAATCATTCCTGTAGACATTTTTGTTTAATGACCTGTTCTTGAATAAGAAATTTAGTAAGCCTTATGAAGTTTATAAAGAAAATCACATAATAATAAAATCATTTGAAATTGTAGAAAAGTCAGAAGTGGACTTTGATTAATGTTCAGGTCTATAATTATTATAGCCAGTACCTAAATATAAGTTGGGTGTTACTGTTAATGAGTCAAATTAGGAAATAGGTAACTGAGTTTTCATCAGCATTGAAAATTAACTTGTACATGTATCACTGGTGCGTTTACTTTCTCCTGTGTATTGGTACTGTGTGATTAGAGTACAATTTAATTATTTTCTTTTGTTCCCCAAATAGCTTTTGCCTACGAAAAAGTTTTGGGAACCTGATGATTCAACAAAAGATGGACAAAAAGGCATATTTCTTGGGGATGATGAATGGAGAGAGACTGCATGGGGAACTTCTCGTAAGTTATTTTGGTGTATGTGTGAGAATTAGGAATTTATTCAGAGTTCTTTTAAACAAACCTTGCCTACCCCAGAAAATATTGGGAGAAATTTTGTGGTATCTTTGTTCATAAATCGTTATAATGCACATTTTCTTATGTCATTTAGCCCTTATCTGACAGTCTGTTTATTGATTACAAGTTTTCATCACAATAGGATTTTACTAAGTTTTATTTGAAATTAATTCTAATTACAAAATTCAGAATTTCCATTAAAACAGAGAAAAAATTAATTTACCCTTAGTAATTTTCAATCTCAAATTGTATTAAATAGCAATGTCTGAGTTATCTAATTGCAGCTCAGTCTAACTGTAGTAGACATTAGCTACACTCAGAAAGGAAATAACTTCCTCAGTAACTTAGAACTCCCAGAAAGCTAGCAGAGCTTTGAATGTTTATGATACTCCGTAAGTAGTGGGGAGAGACTTAAGGCAAAATAAACTGACATGTATAAGGAGTATAATTTGTAGAAGTGACAGTATTTATTGGTAAATTAAAGAGCATTGTTAGTCTTATACTAGCACATTATTTTACTTACTATATTTTACAATGTTTCTGATTAATAAAATGTGAAAGGTGTACAGTTATCCCCGTGTATTTTACAAATGGAGCTCCTGGGTGGTACGAACAGTTGACATTCTCGGCTTCTAACTGAAAGATTGGAGGTTCAGGTTAGAGGTTCCAGTCTACCCAGAGGCACCTCAGAAGAGAAAGTCCTGGTGATCTGCTTCTGAAAAGTTAGTCTTTGAAAACCCTATAGGGCATAGTTCTATTCTGACACACATGGGGTCACCATGAGTCAGAATTGATTTGATGGCAGCTAATATTTTACAGGTAAGTTTTTTTTCTTCCTATGACTAAGTTTAAGCAACGTGATTAATCTATTTTAAGTGACCAAACTAATATAAAAAATAATTATCAAATTCCACCACCCACCTTTCAGTTTGTTGTACTGTGGTGGCATGTGTGTTGCTGTGATGCTGGAAGTTATGCCTTCAATATTTCAAATACCAGCAGGGTCGCCCATGATGGACAGGTTTCAGTGGAGCTTCCAGACTAAGTCAGACTAGGAATAAAAGCCTGGCAGTCTACTTCCAAAAATTAGTGAAAACCTTATGGATCACAACAGAACGTTGTCTGACTTGCTAGATTTGGACACATCATCAGGAGGGAACAATCACTACAGGAGGACATTGTGCTTGGTTAAGTACAGGACCAGCAAGGGCGAGGGAGACCCTCAGTGAGATGGATTGGCACAGTAGCTGCAAGGATGGACTCAAACATGCTGACGATTGTGAGGATGACACAGGACTGCACAACGTTACTGTTGTACATGTGGTCACCATTAATTAAAAGATTTTAAGCACGTTTATAAGTTTTAAACTTGTTAAAGTTAATTGCCTGCCAGAAAGCTAAAACCCAAAAAGTTAGAAAATTCTAGAAAATTTTTAGTGATTAGTACTTTTTTATAGTCGAAATAGATTGAAACGTTTGGTAACAATTTATTTTGATAAAAATTTCCTCAAAATGTTGGAAATTTTCTTTGAGTTTAATCAATAAATAATACCTACATATAGCAGATTTGGAAAATACAAAGATAAATGAAATGTGATCCTGGCCTTCAAGATTTTTCTTTAAATCTGAATTAGCATTAACCTGTATTAGATTGTACACATAGTTGAAATCATTTGGTGATTGATGCTGGGATACATTCTTTTCTTTTTCCTTTTTTCCACAGAAGGAACATTCTTTGCTAAAAAGCACATGTGTTTGGTACCTTGGTAGATGGACGTATTTTGATTTTGTTTTGAAGGTTAAATGATTAATTATTTACTAGAACAAAATGTCTTTTCGGGCATTCGAAAGCAGAATATCTTCAACACAACATGGTAATGAGAGATTATTTTCAAGATCGATGGTTGTGAAATATTTTTGGTATATTACATTTGGAGGACTATACTACCTGCAGGAAAACTTTTAAGCAACACATTTATACATTCCTGATAATTTATTTTTAATGTCAAATTTATAATTCTAGTGAACTCCCCCTTTCCTAACTTAACGTTTTTAGCTGTATAGATAAAATTTTTAACGTGAATATTAGTCTTTTACCAGGAAACATGAGAAAATTAGAAATCAGTTTTGTTGTTGGTAGGTGCCATTGAGTCTGTTCTGACTCATAGCGATCCTGTGTACAACAGAACGAAACACTGCCCAGTCCTGTGCCATCCTCACAATCATTGTTATGCTTGAGCCCATTGTTGCAGCCACTGTGTCAGTCCATCTTGTTGAGGGTCTTCCTCTTTTTCGCTGGCCCTCTGCTTTACCAAATGTCATGGATTGAATTGTGTCCCCCAAAAATATGTGTCAGCTTGACTAGGCCATGATTCCCAGTATTGTGTGGTTGTCCTCCATTTTGTGGTTGTAATTTTGCTATGTGTTGTAAATCCTGATCTCTGCCTGTGGTTAATGAGGCAAGATTAGATTATGTTAAAGTGGATTAGGGTGGGATTTTAACACCCTTACTAATGTCACATCCTTGATCCAGCGTAAAGGGAGTTTTCCTGGGGTGTGAGATGGAAGCGAGCAGAGAGTGGGGGACCTCATACCACCACGAAAGCAGTGCTGGGAGCAGAGCATGTCCTTTAGACCCAGGGTCCCTACGCAGAGAAGCTGTTAGACCAAGGGAAAATTGATGACATGGACCTTCCTCCAGAGCTGACAGAGAGAGAAAGCCTTCCCCTCAAACTGATGCCCTGAATTTGGACTTGTAGCTTACTAGACTGTGAGATAATAAGCTTCTCTTTGTTAAAGCCATCTACTTGTGGTATTTCTGTTATAGCAGCACTAGATGACTAAGACACCAAGCATGACGTCCTTCTCCAGGGACTGATCCCTCTTGATAACATGCCCAAAGTATGTGAGACATAGTCTTGCCATCTATGCTTCTGTGGAGCATTCTGGTTGTACTTCTTCCAAGACAGATTTGTTCATTCTTTTGGCAGTCGGTGGTATATTCAGTATTCTACACCAACACCACAATTCAGAGACGTCAATTCTTTGGTCTTCCTTATTCATTGTCCAGCTTTCAGATGCATATGAGGCGATTGAAAACACCGTGGCTTGGGTCAGGCACACCTTAGTCTTTAAGGTGACATCTTTGCTCTTCAACACTTAAAGAGGTCTTTTGCAGCAGATTTGCGCAATGCATTGTGTCTTAATTTCTTGACTGCTGCTTCCGTTGGTGTTGATCATGGATCCAAGTAAAATGAAATCCTCGACAACGTCAAACTTTTCTCCATTTATCATGATGTTGCTTATTGGTGCAGTTGTGAGGATTTTTGTTTTCCTTATGTTGAGGTGTAATCCCTAGTGAATGCTGTGGTCTTTGATCTTCATCAGTAAGTGCTTCAAGTCCTTTTCACTTTCAGCAAGCCAGGTTGTGTCATATGCATATCACAGGTTGTTAATGAGTCTTCCTCTAATCCTAAGGCCCCGTTCTTCATATAGTCCAGCTTCTCAGATTATTTGTTCAGCATACAGATTGAGTAAGTACGGTGGAAGGATACAACCCTTACGCACACCTTTCCTGACTTTAAACTACGCAGTATCCTCTTGTTCTGTTCGAAGGACTGCTTCTTGGTCTAGGTACAGATTCTGTGTGAGAACAATTAAGTGTTCAGGAATTCCCATTCTTTGCAGTGTTATCCATAATTTGTTATGATCCACACAGTCCAATGCCTTTGCATAGTTAATAAAACACAGGTAAACATCTTTCTGGTATTCTCTGCTTTCAGTCAGGATCCATCTGACATCATCAGTGATATACCTGGTTCCACATCCTCTTCTGAAACTGGCTTGAATTTCTGGCAGTTCCCTGTCAGTACACTGCTGCATCTGCTTTTGAATGATCTTCAGCAAAATTTTACTTGTGTGTGATATTAATGATGTTGTTTGATAAATTCCACATTCATTTGGATTACCTTTCTTTGGAACGGGCACAAAAATACAGATTTCTTTCAGTTGGTTGACCAGGTAGCTGTCTTCCAAATTTCTTAGCATAGAAGAGTGAGCAGCACCTCCAGTGCTGCATCCATCTGTTGAAACATCTCAGTTGATATTGTCAGTCCTGGAGCCTTGTTTTTTGCCAGTGCCTTCAGTGCAGTTTGGACTTCTTTCTTCAGTACCGTCGGTTCTTGGTCATATGCTACCTCCTGAAATGATTGAACGTCAACCAATTCTTTTTGGTATAATGACTCTGTATATTCTTTCCATCTTCTTTTAATGCTTCCTGTGTTGTTCAATATTTTCTCCATAGAATCCTTCAGTATTGCAACTAGAGGCTTGAATTTTTTCTTAAGTTCTTTCAGCTTTAGAAATGTCAAGCGTGTTCTTCCCTTTTGGTTTTCTCTCTCTAGGTCTTTGCACATTTCATTATAACACTTTGTCTTCTTGAGCCACCCTTTGAAATCTGTTTAGCTCTTTTACTCCTTTCGCTTTAGCTACTCTGCATTCAAGAGCAAGTATAAGGGTCTCTTCTTATATCCACTTTGGTCTTTTCTTTCTTCCCTGTCTTTTTAATGACCTCTTGGCTTTCTTCATGTATGGTATTCTTTTGTCATTCCACAACTCATCTAATCTTCCGTCATTAGTGTTCAGTGAGTCAAATCTGTTCTTGAGATGGTCTGTAAATTCAGGTGAAATGCACTCAAGATCATACTTTGGCTTTCATGGACTTGTTTTAATTTTCTTCAGCTTCACCTTTGAACTTGGATATGAACAGTTGATGGTCTGTTGCACAATCGGGCCCTGGCCTTGTTCTGACCGATGATATTGAGCTTTTCCATAGTCTCTTTCCACAGTTGTAGTTTATTTGATTCCTGTGTATTCCTTCTGGTGAGGTCCACATGCATAGTTGCTGTTTATGTTGGTGAAGAAAGGTATCTGCAATGAAGAAGTCATTAGTCTGGCAAAATTCTATCATGTGATCTTAGGCGTCATTTCAGTCACGAAGGCCGCATTTTCCAACTACTATTCTTTCTTTGTTTTCAACTTTTGCATTTCAGTCGCCAGTAATTATCAATGCATCTTGATTGCATGTTTGATCAATTTCAAGCTGCAGAAGTTGGTAAAAATCTTCTATTTCTTCACCTTTGGCCTTAGTGGTTGGTACGTAAATTTGAATAATAGTCACGTTAACTGATCTTCCTTGAAGACAAATGGATATTATCCTATCACTGACAGTGTTGTACTTCAGGATAGATCTTGAAATGTTCTTTTTGACGAAGGCATTGCAGCAATGCAGTTCCTCTTCAATTTGTCATTTCCTGGCATAGTATACCATATGACTGTCCTATTCAAAATGGCCAGTACCAGTCCATTTCAGCCCACTAATGCCTAGGATATCGATGTTTATGTGTTGCATTTCATTCTGTGGGGCAGTTCTACTCTATCCTATAGGGTCGCTATGAGTTGGAATCGACTCGACATCAACGGTTTTTTTTTTAATTGTTAATGAATGATTGCAGCTATTTTTTCTCATTTTTGAGTCATGCCACATCAGGGTAGAAGCTGTCTTATTTGTTGTTGGATTCCCCACATGTAGCACAATGCCCAGCATATAAAACCAGTTGTTGTTGAGTTGATTCCAACTCATGGTGACCCCATGTGTGGCAGAATAGAAACTGTTCGCCATAGGGTTTTCAGTGGCTGATCTTTTGGAGGTAGATTTCCAGGTCTGTCTTCTGAGTAGCTTGTGGGTGGACTGAGCGTCCAGCCTTTCAGTTGGCAGCCCAGCACATTAACTGATTCCACCACCCAGGGACTGTGTTATAAGAGGCAGTAAAACAATATTTGTGTAAATGAATTCATGAATGATTCAATAAAAGGATTTAATGACTAATCTCTCATAGGTAAACTAAATCCAAACCCAAACCTATTGTTGTCGAGTCAATTTCGACTCATAGCAACCCTGTAGGATGGAGTAGAACCGCACCATAGGGTTTCCAAGGCTGTCAGTCTTTACAGAAGCAGTCTGCCACATCTTTCTCCCACAGAGCAGCTGGCAGGTTCGAGCTGCTGACCCTACAGTTAGCAGCTGAGCACTTTATTCACTGTGCCACCAGGGCTCCTTAATTTCACATGAGTAGAGGTGCTGATGTGGGAATGTCTTAATATGCTTTAACAAAAGTAACAAACATTTAAAAATTATTACAGTTAATAAAATGAAGACTTAACACCCTTATTATTGCCCTTTAAAGGCTAGATCTAATCCTGAGTATTGTACCTGGTTTGGAAGTAGCTGGTAACTTACTGGTTCCTTTTTTTGGTGTTGAACTCCGAATACTGTCCCAAATGTTGCATCGTACTTGTATTTTGTTAGGTCTCAGATCTTAAGTACTGTTTTGTTGTTGCTAAAGAAATATATAGAAAAGATATTTACGTTAGGTGAATAGTTTTTTTTAAAACAAAAGTAAATAGAAAAATTTTGCCTATCCTAACCTGTTGCCATTGAGTCAGTTCTGACTCATAGCAACCCTATAGGACAGAGTAGAACTGCCTGGTAGAGTTTCCGAGGAGTGGCTGGTGGATTTGTACTGCCGACCTTTTGATTAGCAGCCGAGCTCTTAACTATTGTGCCACTGGGGCTCCTTATGTATCCTAGAAGAGAGTTTTTAAAAAAATCTTCAGATGACACTTTGTTTTTCCATCAAAAATAGAAAATTCTATGCTATTACTGGTTTTTCTAAACTTACTCATTTGTGTTTATAGCATTATAACTGTACATTCACAATCTGTCCAGTAACATAACTAACTATGAGCTTGAAAAATGCCCTTGCTAATTAGGAAAGAGTTATTTTTGTTCTAGTCCTTATCCCTGAAATTTTTTATTATTAATCAGCATCACCAAGAGAATTTTAATTTCTGATATGTTGCTTGCAGACAACTTAGCCTTCAGGTTAACATTTCTACCTCCTTGACCTTTTTATTTTGCTTCTTGTTTACTACTAAATGGCTCTCCCATCTGTATTTTCAAGAGATGTGCCCAGGCTATTGAGTCGCAACAGAATGAAGAGCTTTTTATAAAGATAATAACATTTAAAATAAAATAATATAATGATTTTTTTTTCCTTGGTGTCTTAATTTGTGTAAAAACATTTTTGTTTAGCTTAAAAACATAAATATATAACTGCATTCTTTCTTTCAAACAGACCATTCAATGTCCCAGCCTATTATGGTACAGAGAAGATCTGGACAAGGTTTTCATGGAAACAGTGAAGTAAATGCAATACTGTCTCCGCGATCAGAAAGTGGAGGCCTTGGTGTGAGCATGGTAGAATATGTATTAAGTTCCTCTCCTGCCGATAAATTGGATTCTCGATTTAGGAAAGGAACTTTTGTAAGTATTTTGAGTGAAGAAATATTTATTGTTTGCTTGTTATTTGATTATGTTACCTTCATTTTAAGTTAGTGTACTTTCCTTGCCCTTCCTAGAGCTAAAGGAAATTTGGGAACTGCTAGTACTCTTCTTTTGGCCACTTCTTGAATACATGAGATGATAGATCTATTGGGGGTATTTATAATAAACATGTTACAAAAATCAAATACTAATTTAAAATTATAATTTACAAGATTAAAAATACTTATTCATGGTAGTGGTTGATCTGAAAGTAACTTAGCATAAGTCTAACATTCTGGAATATGTTCTGCAAAATTGTCTGTGCACTAAATAGAATTCTATAATCTAATTCGTGGTGTTACTGCTTTTCCAGCACCGCTATAGTTAAGGTTGCCTTAGCCCTTCTGTTATAAATCACTGAATTGTACTCAATTTTTGGCCTTTGATAAATTAGTTGACTACGAAATTAAAATAAGACTCATCGCTTTTATTGTTTACGTGCACTATAGTGTAGTTTTAGGTCACCTTATGGGGCCTTTTTTGTGTTCTATTAAATACTCAGAATCAAACAGATTCTTTTTCCTCAGGGTACTAGAGATGCTGAAACAGATGGACCTGAGAAAGGAGATCAAAAAGGCAAGGCTTCTCCATTTGAGGAGGACCAAAACAGAGATCTTAAACAAGGAGATGATGATGATTCTAAAATAAATGGCAGAGGTTTGCCAAATGGAATGGATGCCGATTGCAAAGATTTTAAGTAAGATTTTAACTTTCTCCAGAAGAAAAGCGTATTTCTTTAGGGATTATTACTCCTAGCTGATGTGACTACTTTAGACATTTTTTCCAATTTAGGTTTATTTCCCTTTGTACCTTGCGTGAAGCTGGACTAAGTTTGTTGTTTTTTGTTTTTGTTTTTTTAAGGAAATCTGTGATTTTTCTTGGCAAACACTTCTTAGGGTTGCTCTTGAGCACCTTTCTGTTCAGTTCTCCTCTTCTTTCTATCTCTGTCTTCCCTCCCACCAGCCTCTACCCCATTTAAGCTTAGAAATGAGGAAACATAGGACCAAGGCCCCTTTCTAGTGATATGTGAATTTGTGATAATACTATTGTTTTGCAGTTAGAAAGTGGACAGCATATTTGAGGCTTCAAAGAGTACCTTTAAGCTCAGAATTCTTAGTTGTAGCTTTTTAGTTGTCTCTTTATGGCAATTAAATATTTTCTTCTAGCCTTTGATCTTAGATTAGGCAGTACACATTTGTATAAATATTAGGGAGTTGTTTCTTATTACTGATATTCCTATACTTTATACTTGGATAATCAGATACTTTGGAGCCTATACCTGAAAATTAGCTGCTGCTTTGAGATCTTGTGACCCATGGAATTTCAGTCATCAGAGTATAGGTACATGGTGGGTGGTATACTTTTACATTTATTGCCTTTATTTCTCAAAAGCAGAGTAACAATGATTTTGTTTTTAAATGCCATTTCTATTTAAGTGCAAAAAAGCATCCAGAACAAGTAAACCTCTTGACAAAAAATAAATCTAATGCTGTTCAATTTGTTTTAGAACCTTATCTTGATTTGTTCTTCTGCTGTTACCTAATCTAAGTTTTAGTGAAGGACACGCATTTAAGCATGAGTTTATTTCATACCCTTCAGATTATACATTTATAATCGAAGTGTTAATACATCATTAACTATAGCAAGAAAACAGCACCACTCCTAGCACAATGATTTTTTTTCTGTTGCGCACTCTAGTTTTTTCTGTATTAGAATTGTTATATGTCACAGGCTATACTTGCCCATTAACGTATTAAGAATGAACTTCTATATCTATTAGCATTCTGATTTTTCATTAATTTTTGGTTATGTGTCTTAAATTACTTACGAATTATTTTTGGTACATTAGTAGTTACTACTCGACAGTGTATAAAAGTTTCAAAAGAATAAACGTGGCCATATGGTCACTATGCCAGCACATCATTAATATGTACATTAACTGATATATCATCAATATATCCATTACTGGAGTCGAACTGAAAGGAATGAAACGATAGCAAGCTTCTTCTCTTTTTAATTGGCTGATTTTAAAGAAGATCCTTCCAGTTTTATTTTTTCTTCCTATACATTCTGAATGAAAAAGGAACTTTTGGAATATTTGCATGGAAAATTGAGTATGATTAAAGGGGAGAGGAGTTCAAAATTTCTTCTAATGTTGCATGGACAATGGTTGATTTTTAAATAAAATGTAAGTTAACTTAAATGTCTAGAATTCTTTGTAAAATGCTATGTACATGTAAGCAAATTTATCCCAGTGTGAGGCACCTGAAGTTGGAGACAGACCACCTGTATATGTAACAACTGTATTAAAAGCCAGGTAGAACAAAATTATTGTCATTTACTTAATGTAGTTACGTTTGAATATATTATGAATACATGGTTCCTCAGAACAATAAACTACTTTCTGGTGAGGGAATGGATTCTGTATAAAATATGCAGAAGAAAAGAGTTGGCTGTAAGTAAGGATCAGTTATGTCTAGAATAAGATAAAAACAATTTAGACCATGAAGGACGTTGATAAAAAGAGAAAAGCTAGTACTTAAAATTTAGTCCAATGTTAATGAACTTCTTGGGAAAATTAATGAGGCTATATATTAGAGAAAGTTGTTTTTCCTTTTTTATGTAGATTTATATATACTTTGCTGTGTATACTTAATTTTTATATATATGTTCTACATTTTCATCTCTGATTTAAACTGAAACAATTTGGTATCATGAAAAAGACTGTCTTCAGAGAGGTATCGTAGAAGATTTTCACAAATAGTCTCTTTTCTTTTTGTTTATTGAAACCACAAGGTCATCTCTTCAGTCTCCTTATAGGGAAACTGGGACCTAGAAGATGAAATGGTGTGCTCAAAATCATATTTAAAAGACAGAGCCAGATGATGAACATAATAAATGTCACTGTACATGTGAAGATTGTTGAAATTGCAAATGTTTTGTTACCTATATATTTTCCACCAAAAAAAAAGTCAGGAGTTCGCCCTTTGTCTTGGTTCTATGCCTTTTTTTGTTGCATCACACATCACTTACCCTCTTGAAGACCACAATGATCCCTTGTGGCCAACTTTTTTCTTAACTATTATTAAGCAAACTGTTACAGGCTGGTGGGCAGGACTGGAGTGTGGTGGTGGTGGCTTTTGGTTTTGTGCCTTTCCATATTTGCCACTTGGTAGCCTGCTTTTCATATCTAGTGTTCATCTTGTCTCTGATTTGAGACAAAGATCTTAGGTAGATTAAGCCTAAGTTGTGATATTGGCCAGTTTTCTTATTTGTAAAACTGAGTTATATAATTATGCTATTCAGATTGGACAGATTGTTAATATTAAAAAAAAAAAAAAAAAATGAAACCATGTCAACCCTTAACAGGCAATTATATTAAATAGAAGAAAAAAAATGATGAAATGGAATACTTAGTGACCCAGGGTGCCCTATTTGCTGTCTGTATTTTACCACCATTTGTTTTTCATGATTTCCTGTTTCCTCGTTTCACCTTTTTATTTAGGTTACTTTTTTTCATAATGTTTTTCTGTTTTCCTTATATAGTCGTACTCCTGGAAGTCGTCAGGCCTCTCCAACTGAAGTAGTTGAGCGCCTAGGCCCCAATACTAATCCCCCAGAAGTATTGGGGCCTCTTCCTAACCCTACAGCTAATAAACCACTTGTTGAAGAATTTTCAAACGCTGAAACTCAGAATCTGGATGCCATGGAACAAGTTGGTCTGGATTCCTTACAGTTTGACTATCCTGGTAATCAGGTACCAATGGACTCTTCAGGAGCTACTGTAGGTCTTTTTGACTACAATTCCCAGCAGCAGGTAAAGCATGCCCCTTTAAGAAGCTTAAGTATATATAATTAATGTTTTATTGAGTAAAATGTCCTTGTATTTGAGGACGTGATTCAAATAAGTGCTTACTTTATTCCCAGCCTTCTAATTACAAATGAAATATTTTGAGACTAATGTTTATATTAAATATTTTCCCTAATAGCTCTTTCAGAGGACTAATGCACTAACAGTTCAACAGTTAACTGCAGCTCAGCAGCAGCAATATGCATTAGCTGCAGCTCAGCAGCCACATATAGGTGAGTCTTTCTTTATAAGTTACCATTTTGACTAGACTATTAGAAAATTTTGTGTTAAGGTGTTAGAAGTGTTTTTTTCTTTTTTGAATTGGTGATACTTCATTACTTTTTGAAACATGTCATTGAGATCAAAGAGTAATAGGTTACATGGCAAGAATAAAGATTAAATAGAGATTTGTTTCTGATTGTTATTTGCATCATTTGTTAAATAAAAATCTGTAATTTGATAAAAGGTCTCAGCACGTAAGTCTCTCCCCAACCCCAGTGTGAGTTTAAGAGAGTCAAACACTTGGAAATTCAAATATAGTTATTTGTGTCCATTATCAGGTTAGAATGTTAATTTCAAAAGTTGTTGGAAAATAGGAATCCTCAGACAGATTCTTAATATTTTCTCCCTTCATTAAGTTATGTGGTCTTTGGCCTTTTTCTTTACTATAATGTGAATTATTATAGTAATTACAATCATGGTGCATAGTATCAGTGTTTGAATTTTTTGGGTGGTGATCATGGTTTGTGTTTTGCTTTTTTGGTTTGTTTTTTCCTTTTCCCAATGAAGTGCAAATCTTTACTGTTTATTACTAGAGGTAGATCTTTCTGGTATCCATTTCATGATTAGTTTTACTAGGTCCCTCCCCACCCCCAAGCTCTTTTATTGTGATTCTACCCCTTCCTATAGTAGAATGTGGAGTAAAATGAGTTGATAGGGTCTTTCTGTTTGTTTTTGTTTTTTACTTCTTACTTTGAAATAATTATAGATTCATATGAAGTTGCAAAGATAGTACAGAGTTTCCCTATAGCCTTCACCAAGTGTCCCTGCAGTGATTACAGCTTACGTTACAGTATCAAAACCAGGAATATGACATTGATACAATGTGTGTGTATTGTTCTGTGTCATTTTGTCGCCTGTGTAGATTTGTGTTACTTTTTATGCACGTCTGACCCACTTTTTCCAAACACTGCATCACTTTTTATACTGTATTGTAATTGCCAATTTACTTGTTTGTTTTTCTCACCACAGTGCTTTGTGCAGGCAGATAACCTCTTTCTTCACTGTTGGATCCCTAGCTCATAGTATGGTTTAATAAAGATTAAATGTTTCACCTAAAACACAATAAAATATTTAAAAAAAAAAAAAAAAAGATTGAATAACTGCCTGTTGACAGGTTAACTCCAAGTTTACAATTGTTCTTTATTGACTGGTCTTTTAAGATTTCCTGAATTTTGAAGAATGCCTTAGGTGCATCTTCAGTGTTTATGTAAGAAAGATACTTAAGCAAAGGAAAAAAGAACTAACATTTATTGTCTACCTGTTATGTGCTAGTACTATATAGTCATTTCATGTTCAGTATCACATTTAATTCTCACAAAAATCCTACAAGACAGTGGGTGATACATCTATTGCATAAGTGAGAAACCTTAGAATCAGGTAATGTAACATGGCCAAGGTCACTCAACTAGTAGGATTTGTTCCATTATACATACTTTTTCTCCCAACTCTACCCCCAAATTCAGAGTAGAAATGTTTTTATCTAGTGAAGAAAACCATACTTTACATTTTTATTCATTATTACTCTGCCTTTTAAAAACAGCAGGTGTATTTTCAGCCGGCCTTGCTCCAGCTGCATTTGTGCCAAATCCATATATTATTAGTGCTGCTCCTCCAGGGACTGATCCGTATACTGCAGCAGGATTGGCTGCAGCAGCAACATTAGCAGGTAATTCACTGTTCATCATTGTTGCATATTGTGGATTTAGTTTTAATTTTGGTGTAAGCTTTATTTTTGTCTGTTTGGGCAATTTGAGGTTCCTAGGAAAAACTGAAACATTTATTCAGAATGAACTAAAGTCTCCAGGGGATTAGCTTATTTTTTCACCTGTAATGCTGCAGTGCTTCAAGAGGAAACCTAAGTGATAATTTTTCCTTGCATATATAGTTGGTTTACTTTTAGTTTTGTAGTTTTGGAAATCTTAAATTGTCAACTACGAATTTCTGTTCTTATGATCAAACCCATTACTCAAAGAGACGATTCAAAATAAAGTTATTTCTCAAAAAATAAATTGGAGATTGATGGTGTCAGGGATAAGTGTAAAGGCAAACAGCCTTAGCAATCTTGAGAGAATGATTAATTAAAAAGTAAATTTATCTAGCAATGTTAAAAGGTGCGAGCAAGCTAGGGGATGAAAAGGTAGGGTGTAGTTGGAAAGAACTTACTAAAGACTGTCAGAGGATGAGACCACCACTCAAAATCTGAAGTAGGAACTAAAATTGAATTTATTGCTCATTTAAGTAAGGGAGAGTTGTGCTGAGCAGGCATAGTCTCATGGAGCAAGGCAACTTGCTGATCGTATGTAGGGCTTTGGCAGAGTTTGTTTTAGGTTGAGTTGGTTACAGGGACAGGAATGAGTTAGTCTTAAGCATGGTTTATAGTTGGTTACAGAGCAGAATGTCAGCCTTAGAAGTGTGTTCACTAGTGTCTTCTAATTGGCTGACTTTTAGATCTTGAGGCTGTCATGGATTTTTTGGCTTTCAGAGTTACGTTCACTGAAGTGAATTGTCACTGATAAGTTAAACAAGTTTAAATCTAGTTCTGGTAGTTACTGATTTTCAGAACTATTGAACAGTCTTTTCCTAGGAGTGTGAGGATTTTTTTCTAATATCTTAGGACCTTGTTTTAAAAAGTGTTAATTTTAAATTCTCCTTTGATATCTTAGCTAGCAGACTGGAAGTTACCTAACGCATTCAGTAGCTTTTGGTGTAGATTTGCATGTGATTCCATAAGGGTATAAGCTTTCCTGGTGCCATTTAAATGGATGTTAGTATGTAAAGCGCTTGTATGTTATACATACAGGTATTTAGTAACCAATGATACTGAGAAAAGCAGCTTATAGAGGTCATTGAGTTTTGGGACAAGCATTCTAGGCATTCTGAATTTAGGCTTTCTAAGCCAGTGCTATCCAGTAAAAATATAATGTGAGCCACATATGTAATTTTCAATTTGCTAGTAGCTACCTTTTAAAAGTAAAAAGAAACAGATGAAATTAATGTCAATAATATATTTAATTTAACCCAACATATCCAAAATACTTTCATTTTTACATGTAACCAGTATTTTTTATATTTTAATATTTTAATTCTCTTTTTCACGCTAAGCCTTCAAAATTTGGTGTGTATTATATACTTACAGCACATCTCAGTACAGGCTACCTACATTTTAATTGCTCAATAGCCACACATGACTCCTGGCTCCTATATTGGACAGTGCACTTCTAGGTACATGACTGCCTTTGTTCTGTTCGGTTTTTTTTACCATGCATCCTTCCCTCATAAACCCTTTTCAGTGTATTAACAAACCTATCTCTGGTAATATAATATTTTACCCTTTAACTTTCTAAGCTTTTTCATTTTAGTAATTCAGTCAGTTATACTGGGCTTCATTTTCTTCCAAAACAAAATGAAACCAAGAGTTTGATTATTTTAAAACACATAAATTAAATATGCTGAAATCACGTTAGTGGAATTTTAGAGCATGTTTGTTATATCAGGATTCAAGATCTTTTATCCATTAGTTTAATGGTAAGGCTTATTGTATGTAATATTTACTTGCCAGCAATCAAATATTATCTTGAATAACGTGGAATAAGCAGGAACAATTCTTTTTGTTTTTCCTAGTTTGCTTTCTTAGCTCTATTTCCCTCTATGCTTATATTACTTAGTTCTTTCTTCGCTCAATAGTCTCATTTGTTTTAATATAATTTTCAGTTTTGGGGGGAGGATTTTGTGACTGATTCTATTTCACATATGAAGACTAATTTTAAATTAATGGTTTGTAGTTCAGATACAGTTGTCACATGCTTGGTATCAGAATGTTCCCTAGTTTTGTAATATAGATTGCAAAGCTAGTAGAAACTTTTTGTAATTCTTTTCATCAATCAGAAAATGCTCTGTTTTAAGAGAAATGATGAGCATAGGAAATCTTACAATTTTATGGTGTCTAATGTTTCCTGAATATATTAACTATGTTTATTGGTACCAGACCGATAAATTGACATTCATTAAATGTTGAACTGATTGAGTTAAGGTATCCTTTCAGTTCATTGAGTTTACATTTCGCATCTCTCCATTAAGGCCACTGTTGTTACTCTGGAATGCTTACATTGATAGTAATAGCTGAATGATACTTTCTCCCTAACAGAATCAGAAAAAGTATAAAGGTATATAGCAGGTATACATGAGTAGATGGTTATAAGGACATCTTCTGCTCTAAGTCTTATGCACTGTCCCCTTTTATTGTCTACTGGTAACCGACCTCATGTATCTATCAAACCTACTGACTTCTTTCTTTTTCTTTTGATGGGTTGTGGGGTTTAGGTCCAGCAGTGGTTCCACCTCAGTATTATGGTGTTCCGTGGGGAGTATATCCCGCCAATTTATTTCAGCAACAGGCTGCAGCAGCAGCAAACAACACAGCAAGTCAGCAAGCAGCATCACAAGCCCAGCCTGGACAGCAACAGGTACAGTCCTTCCTTCATTAAATAATATCTGAAGATCGATTCTTGGAAATTCTGTGAGTTCAAGATCTCTGTCTTTTGTTTCCTTGGTATGTAGTACTGTACCTGGCTTATAGTTGGTCCAGAAATGTTTATTGCGTTTTAAAAAATCAGTATCATGAATTTAAAAGACTTGGTTACGCTCCGTGTTTGCATTTCTGTTTGCTGTCTTGAAATCTCTAGCAATTTTGAAATTGCTTTTCATCATTTCGTAAAGACAGTATGCAAATAACGTTCCTATGAAAGTAAGTGTCACTTCATTTTCCTCTGGATATTTAAAATCATTGTTTTAAATATTCGCTTTTTACATTTCTGGCCAAAAAAAAAATTACTGGGTGCTTTATATTTTTAAGCAAGGTAATAAATATTTTGACTAAAATTTAGCTTTAATTTCTTAAAACAGAAATAAAAGTGTTTATCATAAAGATTTTATTTCAGCCACTTTTTTATAAAAGTATCTTACTAAATGCAAGAACATTATTACTGTATATCAGAATTCTTGCTATCAGATTTATCCTGTTTTATACCAAAGAAGCAGCTTACTGATAAGTATGGTGTTACTTGACAGTGAAACGTTATTTTAAATTTCCTCTAATCTGGCTTAATACTATATTGATGCTCTGTTAAAGCTGTCTTTTGGCTCAGTCCTTGGACATCATGCCGCAGCCACAGTATTATTTAATAAATTATTTTTTAACCCGTAACTTCTTTAGGCATACATAAAAATATCATACTGGTTTAGTAATACACACACACCTGTATATGATGTTTACTTAATGTGGATGGGGCTTACACCTTGTCCTGCATTGTTTACTTTTTGTCTTTGTGAAATTAATGTATATTAGGCTTGTGTATAGTCACTACAACAGCTGTGTATTACAAAGTAGTAAAATTTGTCCAGCCTGAAGAGTTTTCACCTTGTTTTGATGTAATGTTATGTTCTTTTTCACCCTGAAGTTAAAAGTAGCTTTTACCCACTTTTACTACAGTTTCTGGGTTCTGAAAACTTGGTTTAATTTGTAGTTTTTCCTCTACAGCACAATCTCATAACAGACTAGCTGAATAATATACTTAATTTGTTCCGTTATGCTTCCTATGTTTCAGTTTTCAGTTTTAGAAAATAGTTTTAACGATCTAAAATAATTTCTTTGTAGTCTTTTAAAGAAAATTCATCTAAGATTTTGCCCTTCTTCCCTATTCACTCCTAATCTCTTTCTTTTTTAATATTACTGTGGTAACTTAAAGAGCACAATTGTTAGAAATTATTTTTTTCCAGAGACCTTCTAGAACCTCCATGTTGCTCTTCAGTTTATTTTGTCAACATATCCATTGTGTTTTTGATGTTGATGTATTTTGTATTTTTTCATGCTAAATCTACATTTCATTGCATGCAAATATATTCAAGGAATATCTAAAGGCTAAACTTGTTTGTAGTATATAAAACATTGTTCAAAGTAAATTTATTTATCATTTTATAAGTTCACTTTTAAGGAAAGAGTATCATCTGTCCTTTGTAGGTTCTCCGTGCTGGAGCAAGTCAGCGCCCGCTTACTCCCAATCAGGGTCAGCAAGGGCAGCAAGCAGAATCACTTGCAGCAGCTGCAGCAGCAAACCCAACTTTGGCTTTTGGTCAGGGTCTTGCTACCGGAATGCCAGGTATATAGTTGGTTAATTTGAGAAATTTGAAGACATTTTAAATGTTAAATGTAGACTCTCATACCAAAGAGTGAAATAAATGAGGAAGTGTCTTTAAAATCTTGCCTAGATTTTAACTACAGCTAGAAAGGGGAGAGGAGTCATAGAATACTACAGTCCTAGCTTTCTAGATTCTCAGTGGAACTTGAATTAAGAGAGCACTTCTGGCCTTTGTGTATTTATTGCTCTTTATAACTATTGCTGATCCTCCTGGGCTCTTAGTGCTTGGTCCTGTTACTCATTTTTTACAAATGTCTTTGCTGTGTTTGTTCATATTCAGCTCATGATCTTATTTCTTACCTTAATAGAACATCAAGGCATTTTGCTATTTTATCAACTTTGGTCTTCTCAGAATTTATTTATATATTCACCTCTTTTCTTCTTTACACCCAATAAGAAAGCTCTTTATTGCTTTCTTTTTTTTTTTACTTTGTTTGACAGTGGACATTATCTTGGTAATTCTAAAAGTAAGCAAATTTATACTCTGTCTAAAAACAATGGACTGTATCTTTGGAGTGATGATAAAATTAAAGATAGTAAAACGTTCAGGAAGTATTTTAAAACAGATTATTTTACCTAACCTTTGAACCACAAAATTTTGCCTCTTTGGAAATACAAACATAAAAAACAGTCTCAAAAAACAGGACCTTAGTAGAATTAGTATTTGTAAGTCTAAGTGACCTGTTGGCTGGTTGTTTCTTCACATGGTGTCCTCACTCTGAAACTTTTTGATCCTTTCCCTACTTCATTCTGCCCAGGACTATGATAAAATAATTCTCACTTTCCGTATTCAAATAGTTACATATTTATAAAGGTAATATGCTATATTAAAAAGAGCTCATTCGAGAAAATTGCTTTCAGATCTCATATTGTCCTTAACTCTTCCACCTTCTTTGTCTCTTCACCTTTCATCTGTCAGATCCCTGGTCATTGGCCTGTATTGATTATAGACCTTTTAGCCCTGTGTGCCATCTGTATGTTTTGGTTTTGGTGAGGTGTGTTTATGTGTGTGTGTGTTTTGAGTCTTGTGCTTCAGTTATTCCATTTGCCACCTCATCTCCTTCAACCAATATGCAGTCTGCCTCTTTTCCTTCATCCTAAATTATCTCAGTTGTGCTGTCCTCATGGATTACTATCAGATCTTACATTCTACCACATTTATTTTAAGTCCTACCTCCATAATTCTTTTGCAGTAGCTCTAATATTACTTGGCAGCACTTGCCGATTATAACCACCTCTACTCCGTCCTTATTTTCTCAATTCTTTATTTCACCGTGTTGACTATGTCCAACTCCCTGTAACTCCTTTCTACTGTCACCTCTACAATACTGTATTTTCCTGGCTTTCCCACTTTCTGACTGCTTCTCATCAGTCTCCATTTCCTCTGTGCATATCCTTAAATACAGAAGGCTGTCAGGCTTACTAACTACATGCTCTGGAGTCAGCTGCCGTATTGGTGTACCACTTAAAACCAGTTGTGTGACCTTGGCCAAGTTACTTTCCTCTTTGAACTTCAGTTTTAATATTAGAAAAATGGAGATAAGGTCTAACTCCTACGGTTGTTAAAAGGATTAAATTACGGGACTGTAGTATTTGGTAGCCCAAAAACCAGACCAAATCCATTGCCGTTGAGTCAATTCTGACCCACAGACCAAATCCATTGCCGTTGAGTCAATTCTGACCCACAGCAAACCTAGAGGACAGAGCAAAACTGCCCCATAGTGTTTCCAAGGAGCGACTGGTGGATTTGAACTGCTGACCTTTTGGTTAGCAGCTAAAACCACTATACCACCAGGGCTCCATACTTCGCAAAGTAGGTGTAAAATGAATGGTATTAATGTAGCTATCTGTATTGTTTAATCCTCTAGTATTGTTTCTTTATTCTGACTTTTACTTTACATTTATTCCTTGGGGGAATCTATGTACTTTGAACATTTCAACTCTCATTCCTGTGTCAGTAAACTAATGAGTTTACATCTGTATCTCGCATGGATTCTTTCCTAAACATCTAATAAATTTCTGTCCTTATGCCAGACTTACCGTGTATATATTTCAGTGACTGGTCAAACTGAAAAAGAGGGGGGTGTTCCCCGGCTTATTTTATGATACTTGCATAACCTTGATACTAATACCTGTCAAAGATCTCATGGTTGAAAATGAAATTTTTTAAATATACTATTTACAGTAGTGGCAGGTAGCTAGGTATAAGTCTATAAATAAAAAAAGCTAGGAAAAATGTACACGATTTCTGAGGGAAGAATTATAAAGCTTCTATTAGACATTAAGCAGCCCTGGTGGAGCAGTGGTTCAGCGCTGGGCTGCTAATCGAAAGATTGGAGGTTTGAAACCACCCAGAGGCTTCGTGGGAGAAAGACCTGATGATCTGTTCCTGTAGATTACAGCCAAGAAATCCTATGGGGCATTTCTACTGTGTCACATGTTGTTGCTATAATTGTTTCAATGGCACTCAACAGCAACAACAATTGGACATTAAAAGAGATGTAAATAGATACCGTTGGACAACTCAGTTTTGTTTTTGTTTTTATTGTGGTAGAATATGTACCATTTTACCATTTTTAAACATACAATTCAGTAATTTTGATTACATTCACCATGTTGTGCAACTATCACCACTGTGTATTACCAAAAGATTTTCATCATTCCAACAGAAACTTAGTACCCCTTAAGGAGTAACTCCCCATTCCTCACTCCCCACTCCTCCCAGCCCCTAGTAACCACCAGTGAACTTTAGACAACTCAGTATTTTAAACATGTCCATTCTTCCCAGATTGATCTGTAGTTTCAGTGCAGTCACAGTCAAAAATCCTGATGAGTTCTTTTTGTGGTATTTTGACAGCTGATGCTACAATTTAAATGGAAATGCAAAGAGTCAAGATTAGTGAAGACACTTGAAACGGGTGGATTAACCAGTAAGCAGGGTACAAACGACTTCCTTGCGTTTACTTCCTAATCTGTAGTGCACAATTTCACATGGGTTTCATCACATCAGAAAAACAGGTGAAATTATGCACTAGAGATTAGTAAGCAAGCACAAGTAACGCCATGCTTAACCTTGCTTATTGGATAATCCATCACTGCTCTTAAAGAACAGAAGGTTTTGAGCAGGGTTGTGGTATTAGACTGTATTTTAAAATATCACTCTGTAGAATAGATTATAGGAGTAGGGCAGGAGAGAGTATGGGCAGACCATTTTGATTTGGTTGGACCAGAATAGTGACAATCAGGAGAATAGACAGATTTGTGAAATATGTAGAAAGTGAAATGGACAGTTCTTGTGAGATGGATTGACTGGGGTAATTAATTACTTGCTCTTCAGGAATTCATGTATGCGAGTTAGCCTAGTATCAGTTAAGTACTGTTTGATTCCTCAGTAGGGTGTTTGCAGCCAAATGTCTAAAATGGTTTAACTTTTTAATTTTTTTATTTACATTCAGATGCTAAAAAAAAAAAAAAACCAAACCCATTGCCGTCAAGTTGATTCTGACTCAGTGATTCAGATGCTAAGTGATGGTAATGCTTTTGAACAGGAGTATTTTCTGAATGTCCTAGATTTAAGACTAGACTGCACGTACCAGTTAAAACCACTGAATAACATCTATAGCTTGAGGTTTACCAGTAATGTGGATGTTTCATTAGCAATATGCTAATGTTTATCCTTAGCCATAATTACTGTATTTATTTAAAAACAAGCTTTGCATATGAAAATGTCAGTGTTAGTAGTGATGTTTGTATTTATCCTAGCACAGTTTATTACGCTTGAACTGAATTTGGCCTGCTGTGTTAGAAGGCAGTAAAATTTACTTATTTCTTTATGAGTATCATTTTACTATGATTTTTGCTTCCTGTGGTCTTAAAAACAAACTGCAAATTGAGATTAGAGTATATTTCAATATATTGTGTGTTTTAAAACACTTTAAAGTATCAGAAGTTGCCAGTACATTTTTCCAGGTAGTTCTCAGGCTATTCTAGTGTGAGTCCTTGTCATACTGTAAGGCAGCCTTTCTCAGCCTGAGTTTGGGGTAGAGAATTAAACCCTGTTGCCTTAAACCATCCTTTGTATGTAGTTAACTTCTCTCCTGTGCATCAAGAGTGGTACTAGTTATGTACCAGTTAGGAGAATTGAGAAAATAGTCACTTGAATGATTTTCTGTATTTTGTTGTTTAGATGAGGAATCCCCACTGAGAAAGGCTGCTAAGGGGCAAATAAACTTAACTCTCCTGTAGCTCTGAGCAGTGCAAATTGCTTCCTGCTTTGTGTTCAAGAAATAAATGAAACTAATGCCTGCAAGATTTCTACTGAAAGTCTAGCTTAAGAAACTTTACAGATACTCTTATCTTATGGTTTTAAGGTATCCCTTTATATCATGATAAAAGTTTTTTAAAAGATGCTTAAAAGTGAAAATCTAAGGGAGTGCTGGTAATGAGGCACTTGTGTAGAAATTCACTAAAACTACATGATAAACATTTCTTTTAGTGTTCTACCTCACTTCCTCTAGTCTTCGTATCAATCCTCCTCTCAGACTGACTTAAGTGGTGGTATTTTTATAGTATCGGCCCTCCATATCCTATAGTTTATGTATCAAGGAAAAACCTGTTCACTTTGTGATCCTTAAATGAAAGGTGCCTCAGTTAAAGATATCTGTTAAAATTTAGAGGAAAAAATATTTTAACTTTTTGTTCTGTAGACCTTCATCTAAAGTGAGAGTAGCAGCACAATTGGAAGAGTGTAGTCGATGTCACTGAACTGTGCATGTAGAAATTTTTGAAATGGTGTATCCTTGGCTGTGTGTATTTTCACCAAAAAGGGAAAAGGGGGTCGAGAGGGGAGATGGTTGACATGTTGTGGGGTTGTTGGCCAATGTCATGGAACAATGTGTGTACTCCTGTTTCATGGGAGACTGTTCTGTAGACCTTCATCTGAAGTGCAATTTAAAAAAAAAAAAATACTTTAACTATATTCTATTACGTTTTCATTTTCATATGGTAGGTAAGACCTCAAATGTGATGCTTTTCATATGGTAGCTATTCAAGGGTTTTTTATTAATAGTATAAAATACCTGTTTTCTGGTTGATACAGAATACAAATGCAAGAGAAGATAAAGATGCATATTTTCTATAATGTTTTCATTAGTAAACATTTATTTTAATGTTATCTAGGCTATCAAGTACTAGCTCCAACTGCCTATTATGATCAGACTGGTGCCTTAGTGGTTGGTCCTGGAGCAAGAACTGGCCTTGGAGCTCCAGTTCGATTAATGGCTCCAACACCTGTTTTAATTAGTTCAGCAGCAGCACAAGCTGGTAAGTATAACTGACATTTTCAGGGATAATATTTTTTTCTAGTGTTTTTGAAGTATTTTAAAAATACAGAATAGTTTTCTGGGTGCTTTTAAGAAGTATCTGTAATTTATATTTTACAGCGGCAGCAGCAGCAGCTGGAGGAACTGCAGGTAGTCTTACCGGCACCACAAATGGTCTGTTCCGGCCAATTGGCACTCAGCCGCCACAGCAGCAGCAGCAACAGCAGCAGCCGAGCACTAATCTGCAGTCTAATTCATTTTATGGGAGCAGTTCTTTAAGTAATAGCTCCCAGAGCACTTCTTTATTTTCTCATGGACCTGGTCAACCTGGAAGTGCATCTCTTGGCTTTGGAAGTAGTGGCTCTTTGGGTGCTGCTATAGGCTCAGCGCTCAGTGGATTTGGTTCATCAGGTAAGTATGCTTTTAAGATGAGTATACACTGCTAAGTGGATATGAGGTGTATGTTTGTTTTTAATATTAAAATAAGCAATGATAGCATATGATATAGGAAAGACAGGAATAGTGTTGATTCATTGGTGTAATTTTTGTAAAAGAAAAAGTACCTCCTGCCAATCTTTAAACATTTATGGATGTTTCATTCATTTCAAGCAGCCCATCCTTTACTCAGATATAATAGTTTTCTTTTCCCACTGGCTTTAAAATCATATTCTTGTAATTTTGTTTTGGTAGTTTTGTTTGGAGCAATATATTGTATGCTAATTATTAGCTCTTCCTTATTCTCTCCATAATATTAATGTGTGAGGAGCTAAATACTTTGTCATCTTAAATTTTTGGTCCTCTAAAATAATCTTTGCTTATCAGATGGTTTATTCTTATTCAGTGCTTGTTGTTAATTATGCTTTTGTTTATTTGACATAATATATAATAATAAAATATAACTAAATGTTCTAAACAGAAACGCCTAAGAAACTATCAGTATGCTTATTTTTATTTTAGATTAAATACATTAAGCCTATATCTCTTATATATACACATATGTGTATATATATATTTATATACACACACACATATATGTGTGTATATATATGTGTATATACACACACATATATATATGTAGGTAAAAAGATGTTTCTTCCCATATCCTACAGTTGTTTACCACTTAAATCCAAATTTTAAGTAGCTTCACAAGATAAATAATTTACCTACACAAACTGGTTCCTGAATTTTGTGACTGAGCCGAAGAACTAAATGAAGAAGAGGCCCATGTCAAGTCAATGTCGACATACTGACACGTTGAATTAGAATTCTTTGAGGTTTCCAGAGAATTCAGGAAACATTTAAAAAAAAAAAAAGGCTTACCCTAGTTTCAGTGGCACAGTTAGTAGCCTTTTCTTCATGAGGGCAGGATTCAAGTTTCAAGAGATTTTCCATTTCTTTAACATTCTAGAATTCTTAATATCTGCTTCTCATCTGTTTTCCCACTATGTCAAATTGTATTCTTTTCTGGTGTGGAAAATAGCAAAAGTAACATATGCCAGTCATTATTAACTGTGCTTGCTGGTTTTCTAATGAAATGTCTTCTGCACTTTTAGCGTTTATAAGAGCTATAAATTTTCAGATGCAGAATGCTTCTTTGTTAAAAAATGAAAAACAATAGAAAAATGCCATACTTGCCAAACAGAAAATAATCTAAAGAATAGGCACAAGAACTTCTGAGGTGAGGGGAAATTTAGTGAAAATGGAGACTGTTCAGTCTTTTGATTTTCCTGCTTTTTTTCATCCCTTTTTGGAGTTCAGTATTTTTATCTCCAACTCAGGCAACTCCCATAGGATTCATTCTTTGTTTCTAACACAGTTGTCATGAGCATTTTCCCCCAAAGAGTTTAGATGTTCAGAGTAAAACCAGAAGAATATGTAACTTTAAAAAAAATTCTTTTTTTTTTTTAATGGAGATAGTTTCTAAAGTGTAGATGTTAGACCCTAAGTAATTCAGGAAAAATAGAAAAGAGCTTTGATAAAAACCCTGTGTTCCCTTTTTCCTGATAAAATATACCGCTAGTGGTGTGGTAAAGCTTTGTAGGCCCCTTACCTGGTCCTTTTTCCAAATTCCCATTTGTCTCTTCATTGTTAAGACCTTCCTCTGCATTCTAGTTGGCATAAATATATTGTCCCTTACAAATGTTCCCTGCTGATGGCCTCTTTCCCAAGAGCTGATCTCTACTTCTTCATGCCTCCTTTATTTATGAGCACTGCTTTCTCAATTCTGATTTCTAATCTGGGATGCCTCTGTTTTACCTTGCCTCAAAGGGCATTAGTGATTGCCACCCCTGAGTGCCAGTAAATAGCCTGTCATCTTCTCCCTCCTCTTGGACATTTTGTGAGAGTTCATTCAAGTTGTACATGTATGTACTCTTACAAGTCTACCCTTTGCCATTTCACATTATGACAATTACATATCTATATGAAATCTAAAATGTAATTGTGTGCATATGTACACGTAGACACACGATTAGCATACACATCATTATTCTCTTGCCTATATGATGAAATTTTTAATGTTTAAATGTGGTAAATACCCTAATTTATAACACAGTAGACCAGGAAGCTTAGCCATTGAAATATAGTAATTAAATCATACTTTTTATGGCCAATTATTTAGAAAGTGCTATTACAATTGAAAATTAGTAATTTAACATTTTTACAGAGTTTGTGGATGATTAGTGACTCCATTGTCTAGCCTCTTAGATATTTTAGCTATACTTCGTTTCATATTTCATAGTCACACTTTTGCAGATAACTTAGGCGTATAGTAAAATTTAAAGAGCCAACTTGTTTATATTTAAAGTAAAGCTATTAATGAATTATTTTTAAATGTTTGACTTGGCTTTTCCTTTTTGGAAGAAAATAATATTGCATGTATTAAAACTATGGTTTCGTTGGTTATTTGCCAGTGCAGTAGTGCTACGAATCTCATTAGAGAGCTAATTTCTTTTTTTTTTTGTCAGTTAAATTGTTTTCTACAATAAATAGGAATTTTAAATGTAGTCATGTTTTAGGAAAATCACTTTGACAGTGTCCTTTTAAATTAGCACAGTTAATACAGTACACATTGACAATTTTACCAAAACCAACTCAAGAACTATTTATTACATCAGTGTCTTTATTTGTTTTTGCTATTAAAATGCATATAGCTACTTAGTATTTTCCTATTATATGATATTTTAAAATGTGAGATTGTCAGTAAAACATATGATCAGTCTTTCAGAAACAGCACTGGCTGGTATAAAAAAGTTGAATAGCATAATCTTTTGCCTAATACAGTAGTGTAAGCCTGTTTTTTTTTTCTTCTTTATAGAACTTTTGAATTTTGCAAAACCAGTGTAATCAAGTTTTCTATCTGTCTTATAGACTTAATTTGGGCTACCTACCATGTGCTCTGCTTAATTTTTCTCCTTAATCTATATCCTATATGATCTACTTATAATAGACTTGCTATTAGAAAACCAAGACTTAATAGAAACTCTAAAATTCTATTGAAAAGAATTGGCATATTGGTCCGAATATAGAGCTTATCTTTTAAAAAATTTATTTTACAAGAAATATGAAATTCTCTTAGATATAAAAGGCACTAAAAGAGGCTAATGCTAAGAAATAAGAAAGAAATATACTTGAAAATGTGGGCTCTAAGTGAGACTTAAGAGTTGATAATTTTAGGCAGCCCTATAGGCAGCCCTATAGACACACAGTAAAGAATTAGATTATCCAGATACATGTCAATCAACAGCCAGAATTTGAGTTGCCCTACGGAGCGTGCGTAGCTCATCAAGGCCCTCACGATAATGTGATTCTTTTTTTTTTTTCCCCATGACCTTGTAGAATACAGGAGGGAAAAGGACATTAGTTGATAGTTGAATTTGAGATTAAGCCAAAAGAATTGAGTATGTAGTGCAATAAGGGATGTAAGATAAGATAAATTGTATGTTAATCTAAGGGGGACAAAACTGATCAATCTTCACTTGAAGAAGAGTCTCAGGATGCCATTAATAGAATCTTAGGAATGGAGAAGTCCTGAGGGGTAAGTGAAAGCATGTCTTTTGGTATAATAATAGTAATGTGAGGTGGTAATTTTCTACAAGAAAGTATTTTCAGGTGTATTTTTGTAATTTAGTTGGAGAATGGGGAGACTTTGTAGTGTGAAAACTGAGGAGTTGCCATTTTAATGTCACAACTGCCTAATATTCGGGCCAATATGAATTTAAAGGATTGTGGTTTGAACACAAGCTAGAAGCTAAATCAAATGTGAATGGTGAGGGAAATGTGTTAATATTCTATTAATCAATGTAACTTTTTTTTTTTTGGCATTGAGTTGAAGTTTAAGAACCGAGTTCTAGAGATTAGGACACTGCCAGAGTTTAACCTTATTGGAATTTAATCTGTAACATGTCCTAAAGAAGACCACTTATAATTGCAGGGTTTATAATCATACCAGGGTATTAAAGCACAGTAATCACATGTGTCACTGGTAAATATGTGTGAAATAATGAAACATATGACTGCTCTGTTAAATATTTAGTTACTGTATTGGGGTGCATTTATACCCTTTTATGATTAGAAAGTTAGTGTATTTAGTTATCACAGTAATTATCTTCTCCATAATGTTTCTGAAAATAATTATTGTGATCACTTCTTTTATTGCCCAGCAAGAGTTGGGGATAGGTTTTATTCAGTTAACACTGTATGTAATTAGGGTTTTTTTTATTTCTTCTTCAGTTGGCAGTTCTGCAAGTAGTAGTGCCACAAGGAGAGAGTCTCTATCTACTAGCTCTGACTTGTACAAAAGACCTAGTAGCAGCCTAGCACCCATAGGGCAACCATTTTACAATAGTCTGGGATTTTCCTCCTCTCCAAGTCCAATAGGCATGCCTCTGCCAAGCCAAACTCCAGGACATTCACTTACGCCACCGCCATCACTTTCATCACATGGATCCTCATCCAGTTTGCATTTAGGTAAAAAAAAAAAACCAAAACCCTTTTTATTTGTATGTATACATGTATGTGTGTTTGTGTGTATGTGTGTGTGTTTATAATATATGTAAAAATATTTAATGTTGGATAAAACATGCTGAATTGCTTTTGCTTTTAGATACTAGCCTTTTGTGAAAAGGTTCTACTTTTCTGAAAATTCAAAGTGAGGGTCTGATGTACAGTAAGGTAAAGACCCCCTATTGTACCTTATGTTCCTTTTATGAAATACAATGGTGTGTTTTTTTTCTTGTCTGTGCCTTTGATTTGTGTGTGTTTTAGATCATCTGAAAAAGTCAACTATTGGTACATGATAGTGAAAGAGGAATTTCGCTATCAAAAGTTTTTGCACACCAGAAGAAAACATTAGTTACACAGTTACTGAACTTAAATCATTCAGTTTAGAACAATGGTTTTTGCTTTGCCTTTTGAATGCCTGGCCATTTAACCCAAAGGGTTGTTATCGGAATATGAATTTAGTATGTTCGTGAGTTAGAGAACTTGTGGGTTTGGTCCATATACTTCTCTAATTTTTGAATGTGTTTTTACTTTAAGAAAAAATGTTTTAAGCTGATAGTACTCCTGAAGTTGGAGCATTTAGAACTTTTTTGTTTATATCTGTATATTAAAATTACTTCCACCCCCTACCCCCCCAAGATTATTACATTGGTAGTTACCTTTTTTCGCTCTCCTGGATGTATTTAGCCATGTAGATAACAGTATATCAAAGGCTGTGTAAAAGTCCTTTTCTCTTCAAATAAATTGTTTCATTAAAATTAGATTCTGAATTTTTGTTATCCTAGTTACCTTAACTGAAACTGAGAGATTTTAACACAGACTTTTGTGCTTGGAAAGATTTTAATCAGCTTGTAATTTTAAAAAGTAATGTTGCTCTGGTAAGCAGATATACTATGAGTTAGTGATTGTGTTTTGACCCCTAATCATATAGATATCAGTTTTTTCCTAAAGCTCATTAATACAGTAAAGGTCCATCATAACAAAGATACCTGTTAAAGTGATCATCATTTAGATTTATGTTATTTCAAGGTGGGTTGGATTTTCTTTTTTAAAGACCTTGGTCCTCTTCCCCAAATTTTAGTTCTTTGCTCTTTTGAGGATTTGTTTGTTGAATATACATAATCATTTAATTTATTTGGGTGGAGTCCTTAGATCTGCTTTGCAGCACTATTCGTGTGGATTTACCAGTTTTTAGACTTAACACCTTCTTTCATTTTTATCATCATCTTAGTCACAGGAGTTAACTCAGGTCCTGATTTCTGTTACTGCTAAGACCCCACCACCACCACTGCCCCCTCCCCCCACATAAGACATGCCTTTGAAATTTTGAAATGGACACAAAAACTTGGAACAAAACAAACCTAAGAATAGACCTATTATAATAGCTTTGTGTTTTATTCATTAAGATTGTATTTGTCATGTCCTGTCATTTTTCATGGGTAAGTTTCAGATCAGATTCCTGTTTAACTGTTACTGCTTGTGTTGTGCTCTAGAGCAGCTGTAAATACTATTAATTATTGTTCTATATAGCTTGTTAGAAATTGGATATAAGTGACTTTAAATGTCTATAGCAATCTAGGTATGTGCCTCTACTTTTCTTTAGACTATAAGGAATCTAGCCTACTAGATGCCTAAGGAAGGAATTCTAGTCATTTATGGGAAATAATCATCACTTGGGCCAGCATTTCTACATAATTGTCTAGTACTTTTGTACCCATAGTTAAACTCCTTGATTTAGCTTCAGCTTGAAATCTGAAATTTTTATGCGTCTCTGATTGTAAGATGGCCTGTAGTGTTATCTAAATTGGAGTTATCTGTAGATTATTCTCTTTTGTGATCTCCAGTTTCCTCTAGTTTCTAGTCGTAGTATCCCTGTTCAACATGTTAATAATGAACAGACCCTGCCCAGTTAAAAACAATTCAGTAGATTTCATTAATTTGCTGTTGGCATAGTGTTTCTGGATATAATCTATCCTGCACTTTCCTATTATTGAATCATGATGAAAGGCTTACATGCTTTCTGGTTTAAAAAATATTTTAAATTGTATATTCTTTAAGTGGATTTCTTTATGAATCAAGTAATCAAGGCTGCTGATGCATAAAATACCTGTGGGAATGGAATTTGCATATTCTTTAAAAAAATGTATATATACTCAGCTCACATTAAGAATATAAAATCATAGAGCTGAGATAGTTCTCTGTCTCATTAGAATTGGTTGAAATTAGTTAATCCAAGTTATTTTATTGTTTGATTTTAAGACAGGAACATCATTATAGTTATTCATATGCCTTAAGATCTGAGATCCCAAAGTATTTAATGAAACATACTAAACTTTTTTACAAGTTCTCTTTTTGCTTGTGCTAGTCACAGAAAAAAACTAATTTCAAAGATATGTTTTCTGTTTTTAAATAGTAAGCATTTGATCAGTTTATGTATTTTTAGCAGGATTGACTAGTACTCACTTTTTGATTGAAAAACAAGAATTTTAATAAGTTTCGATTGTTAATTTTTTATGACAGTCTAAAATCTTTTTGTTCAGATTTGTAATCCCATTACTCATTTAATATATTAAAGTTAGAGGCATGAAAGGTTTATTCTTTCATTTTCTAGTACGTATGTCTAAGAGGTAGAGATTCTTGTTTAAATACAATCATAATCACAATATCATTTTCATACCTTTCAAAATTAGTAATTTCCTAATAAAATATTATTAAAAATTAATAATTCCTCATTATTCTAGTTTCCCCAGTCAACTCAAATGTCTTTGTACAGTTGCTTTGTTTGAATCAGGGTCCACACATTGCATTTGTTTGCTAAATCTTTTAGTCTGTAACAGTTTTTCTTTCCTCTTTTTTTTTTCCCATTTGTTGAAGAAACTTTGTCCTGTGGAATCAACTTTGTTGATTTTTCTGGTTACATCCCTGTGGTGGTATTTAACATGTACCTCAATCCTCTAAATTTCCTGTAAACTGAAGCTCGATCTAGAGATTTGGTCAGTTTTCCTTGTTTCTTTTGGCAAGGTGTAGTCCTGTCCTGTTGTACCACATCAGTAGACACATAGTGTCTGCTTGTCTCCAGTTGGTGAGTTTGTCAGCCTGGTCCACCTAATGGTTTTAGAAGCCTTTGATTATTGCCTAGATCTACTATTTCTTCAAAGGTTGCAAATTGTGATATTCTAGTTCTGTTATGCCTTCTGCATTTCTTAGCTGGAACTTTTCTATAAAGAACTTTCCCTAGTAAAGTGTGTGGCTACCCTGAAATGAAGTACCATTTTATATAGGAGTCATTTTATATAGGATTATTTTCCTTTATTTACATAATGAGTTGATGGCCTAGCAACCTTTAAATGTGACTCATGGGTTTTTCCATCGTCATTATCTGTAAATTGATTAATATTATGATAGTTGAAGTGTTTTAGTCTGTTGCAGTCTGAGAGACATCAGTTTTTTTTTAAAAATAATACTGTATTTTTGGTGAAAATTTACACAGCAAATTACATTCCCATTTAACAGTTACTACACAAATTGTTCTGAGATGTTGGTTACATTTTTCACAGTGTTAACGCAGTGTTTTCACAATGTTAACAATGTCATTAATTCCCTTCTGGATGTTTTGTTTCCAGTAATCTGATTTCCCTGTCTCCTTACCCTGTTATCTTTGCTTTAGAGTAATTGTTGACCATTTGGTCTCAGGTAGCTATTTTTTTTTTTTTTAACAGTTAAGTGGTTTATTTAATTTTTAATTTTTTTTATTGTACTTTAGGTGAAGGTTTACAGAACAAATAGTTTCTCATTAAACAGTCAGTACATATATTGTTTTATGACATTGGTTAACAACCCCACGACATGTCAGCACTCTCCCTTCTCGGTCTTGGAGGACCCTTTTTTTTTTTTTGGTGAAGTTATACATAGCCAAAGATACACCATTTGAAAAATTTCTACATGTACAATTCACAGACGTCGATTACGTTCTTCCAGTTGTGCTGCTGTTCTCACTTTAGATGAAGGTTTACAGAACAAAATAGTTTCTCATTAAATAGTTAGTACACATATTGCCCTATGACAATGGTTAAGAACCCCACTACATGTCACCACTGTCCTTACTCAACCTTGGGTTCCCTATCACCAGCGTTCCTGTCCCCTTCTGCCTTCTAGTCCTTGTCCCTGGACTGCTGTGCCCAGTTAGTCCTGTTTTGTTTTATGGGACTGTCCGATCCCTGGCTGAACGGTGAACCTTGGGAGTGACTTCACCACTGAGCTAAAAGGGTGTCCAGGGGCCATACTCTCAGGGTTTCTCCAGTCTCTGTCAGGCCAGTAAATCTAGTCTTTTTTTGTGTTAGAATTTTCATGTAGATTATTCTTTAAAGGTGCACGGTACTCACTGACATACATTTTATGAGCCAGTCTGTTACTTAGCTAAAAGGTGACCTCAGGGAGTAATTTCAATTCAAGATTTAGACAGTATCTCAGTGTGGTAGTCTTGGTGAGTCCTTTAGTCTCAACCAGTCCAGTAAGTCTTCACTTTTTAAGAATTTGAGTTCTGTTCCACATTTTTCTCCCCTTCTATCGGGGTCCATCTATTGTGACCCTGATCAGAATGGTCATGGGTACCACCTGGTTCTTCTGGTCTCAGGGTAGATGAGGCTGTGGTTCCTGTAAACTGTTAGTCCTGTGGAGTAGTTTCTTCACTGAGTCTTTTGTTTCCTTCTTTCTCTTTTGGTCCGGAGAATAGACAGATCATTGTATCTTAGATGGCTGCTCGCAAGCTCTTAAGACCCCAGATGCTACTCCCTGAACTAGGATGTGGAACATAAACTTTGTAAACTATATTATGCCAGTTGACGGAGTTGTCCCACAAGACTATAATCCTAAGACTTCAAATGCAGAAAACCAATTCCACAAGGTGTTTGATTGTATCTAAGAAGTATCCATAACTGTGCCCTCTGTCTGCTTTTATTATATATATG